GCTAGCCCAAAAGACAGTTTGGCTTCCTACAGAGGTGTAAAGGATAAAAAAGGGGTTGTGGTGGACAGTGCATTGTTGTTGTGAATTATGCAGTGAGCTGAAAGGACACTGGAATAGTCATCAAAGTTCCTATGAGCTGCTCTCTTCCAGATGAGCTAATAGAGTGGCTCTGAGCTCTGAGGTTAACTGAAATCAAATTTAACAGTGCTGTAAAATACATTTGCTGTATCTGACTTGTTTCTAAAGTTAGAGCGGTGATTCTGCTGACCCTATTGTCAGTAACAGCTCCCGTTAACTCAACATGATCTGCATGAAGATGACCATGGAGTTTTACCTAAAGCACATATGGCAACCCGTAACCTTCGCGAAGACCGATGTATTTTTGGATATTCTAAGAAATCAGAAAGCATCGATCAGAAATCTATGAAACCATTCATTGGGTTTTCAAATATCTTCATTTAAATAACACTCAGAAGGAAAGGAGTCATTGTCCAGCACTGTTTCATTAACAGGCTTACATGATATGTGATTGCTTGTAAAAACAGCTAGCCCCGAGAAGAAAGACCTTGGAGGTCCTTTTCAGCCCTATGTAATGGAAAGACGACACTGGAGTTACGAGGGGCTTACTGCTTACTGCTGTAAATGATCAGCATCTCATTAATTTGTTCTGTAACTTGAATATGTATCTTTTTATGTCCCAATAAATGTTCCAGGTACAGTGCTAATATTAATTATTGATTGGATGTGGAAGTGCCGACTCCCATCGGGTACAATTAATAACACATGTCAAACTGCGAGAAAATAAATGTGTGTTCTTTGAAAGTGAGTTAGAATGCGTCAGATGCTTTTATTTTCCATTTTCAAGAACTGATTTATAATCTTAAAAGATTGTTTTCATTATACTTTTTGAGGGGAAAAAGGAATTTTATACCTTAAGGCTGTATTCTCTTCGTTCATTTGAAAGACCACAGAGATGCAACACTTAGAGGAAAGTTTGCGCATCTTATGGCGCCTCTGTAGATCCGTTGCACCTTTTCCCACAGATAAAACCTCACCCTGATTAGTGCCATTTTCCAGGTCTCTGCAGGAGCCCATACCATCTGGCAGGCGTTGTGAACAGTAGAGTAGGTGTGAGCAGAAACATGAACGTGGGCTACAAAATGAGGAACCACATGAGTTACATCTTCCTTCGCAGCTGGGGCTGTAAGAATACGGTCCACTGAAGCCGAAACAGTCCAGTTAACTCGGCTGGGAGCAGAAGCTGACCGCAAGAGCGCAGGAGTCTCAGCTATTATACTGAGATGTAAGTGTAACTCTGACCCATGAGCATGAATAACAGAAGTCTCATTGATTTAAATTAGAGGAGGCTTGGGTCTATTTACTGTAACTGAGTCGATTCTCAGAAAAATAATTAATTCCTTGTCATGTCTCACGTGTATTGATTTTTGTAATTACAATGAAATTGGAGGCAAAGCGCAGGAGTCTCAGCTATTATACTGAGATGTAAGTGTAACTCTGACCCATGAGCATGAATAACAGAAGTCTCATTGATTTAAATTAGAGGAGGCTTGGGTCTATTTACTGTAACTGAGTCGATTCTCAGAAAAATAATTAATTCCTTGTCATGTCTCACGTGTATTGATTTTTGTAATTACAATGAGATTGGAGGCAAGGGGGGGGGAAGGAAATGCACTCGATTTATGTTTAATTTGATGCACAAGCTGTCAAGGACAAAGAAATTGAGATGCAACGACCATGTCCATCCTCGATGCACTCCTCTGTGCTTAGATAACGAGTGCCAGACACGCGCTGTAGTGGAGAATCTAAAATCACACACTGCTCTAACGTACAGAATTCAGTACTGCGGTGTAAAGAGCTGTGTTTCTACAGCAGCCTCCACAGCATGCAGAAGAGATGCCCAAGGGGAAGAAGATAAGGACAGGACAAGCTTAATGTGTATCAATGACTAAGAGGAGGAGACAAAGAATTAGAATGGGGGAGAAAAGAAATACAAGCTGTTGCTGATAATAAAGCTGCCAGTAGATAACGTAAGAAAAAAAAGGAGTGAGAGAAGAGAAAATATACATGGCCTTGCTTGGTAATGATGCTGTTAGGAAAAAGAGAGCAGTAGGAGAGCATTTGAACTTTGTTTCCACTGTGCTTTCACTAAAATGGCAAGTTAGAAATTTTCTGACCTAGAGTCAGTCAGTATTTGACTTCTTAATTAGGTGACGGTCTCCTTTTCCAAACACGTTTGTGGGAGTGGTTGGCCTGTTTCCATACACACACACACAGAGATTTGATGATAATACTCAACTTCTGGTTTCTACAGCATCAGAGATTAGTTTGTCATAAAGATATCCTCATTACGTATACGCAGATACAGTACGACGGTTTGGGCCCATTAAAGCCAATGCCTACTCTGATTTCAGCAGGACCGCAAGAAGCTGAAGAACTATTTCCAATCTTTTGCCTAACAGTATCAGTTCAGGAAGTAAAGTCTCCAACCCTTATATGAGAAAAAAAGCTTTTTGTTACACAATAGCCCTGCAAATGAAAGCTGCAAAACAGTCTCACATCCAAACATTAAAAAGAAATGATATATATGAGGGAGAGGCAGAGTTTAAGGGTGTAAATCAGTTCTGAGTTAAGTACTTTCAGCTAAACACACAATATTTTAAACAAGAAGCAAGCCCTCTGCCTCCAGTACAGGGAACTGATTTGCATCCAGTTTGTGCAGTTTCTAAAAGCTGTTGTCTAAAATGTCAGCACCCTAAAGGAAATTTTCCTCCGGTGACCCACACACACCACAACAAAGAAAGCTGCAAACTAAAACTGTTTTTTTTTAAAAAAAAAAAAACCAACCAACCCCCAAAACTCACTGGTGTGGCAGTCTGTTGGCAGCACTTTGTGAAATGATATTCTTCCTGGCTATGGCAGAGCTCTGTGCACAGCGAACTGTGAGTCAGTAATAAATAACCAAATGACAGTGACTGATGATGGCAAATCTGTCTCCAAAGGAATTATTGGTAAAAATACTAAAAATTCTTTCCCTCTATAAAATTAAACTCTTTGTTGAGGGGTTGAGTTGATACTGCCAGAAAACCCTTTTAACACAGCTAGCATAAATTGTAGTGGGAGTTTGAATATTGAAGCACGAGAGACTAGCTGTTAAAAAAGCTGCCCCTAGAAAGGCTGCTGTTTGCATAAAACACATTGGTTCTTCTCAGCTGGGAAATCACTTGATCCATTTTATATCATACGCCCTGTCACTAAGGAAGCAAATATGGATATGAAATATGAACATGAAGCAAAACATACAAAGAGACTTAATAAAATGAGTAATTATGTTTTGCCTAAATCCTCTCCTGCCAGCAAGAGGCACATACCATCATAAATTCAGCAAAGTCTGCCCATTTCAGTATGTGGGAAAGGAAAAGAAAAACTGCAGCCAGGCCCTGTGAGGCACATTACTGCAGAGGGTTTTCTCAGGAGAAACTGAGAGCACTGACTGAGGAGGGCTGATCACTGCAGGGCTTTAACCGATGGCCAGATGCGGGGGAAGGCAAGGGGTCTGGAGCTGCTCTGTGCCATGACCGAACGCTTGGCACGTGGACAGCTGATGGAAGAGTCTAACGCTACCGGCCCGGCACGACCTTTCAAAACGCAACCCAAGTCCTTAGTGACAAATTTTCAGCGCTTTATGCTACTTCTCAGTAAATCAATAAATTAAAAAAAAAGTAATCAAGAAAAAAAGAAGAAAGGACCCAGACACAGAGAAGTAATCAAGTGCCCAAGTATTTGTGAAAAAACTGTGTTAGAAGTACCAGCAGATTATTCTTTGAAATTCAAAACTCCGGCATTTAAATTCCAGTCTTTTTAGTTCACATGCCTGAGAGGCTGACGATCCTACAGCACCAAATGTAAAACATAACCTTATGTATAGTCTTTACGCCCAGATGCTCACGACATCTAAAAGTTCCAGCTTATTTATGAACATGATTTCATAAAGGTGAGTAGAAAATCAGAAATGCAAACATTTTTATTTTTCCAAACTATTGTAAACTTCTAGCTATTCAGACCTTAGCCTAATTTACTCTCTGGGTATTTCACAGAAATGACATGACAACACTGATTAGCTGACACCCAGTGCTAGAATTCAAGCTGTAATACAAGCACAGAAACATTAGGACTGTGGACACAGACAAGGAATGAAAAGTGAAGCCTAGAACACACATTTGAGCAAGTGCAGAAAAAAATGAAAGCAGACATGACACAATGGGCTGTGAAGTTCCATACTTGGATATGAACTCTGCTGAAAACAAGTCTCCCACCGTACAGAAGACTGATTATATAGTTACCTAGGTCTTCCTACAGGAAAATTGTGTACAAGTGGGGGACTCTGAACCTCCTCTACTGAAGTCAATGGCAAAACTACCACCAGCTTCACTAGGAGCAAGAGTCAGCCTGCAATCTTTAGGATGAAAAACTGTATTTCAGAATATTACATGTAGATGCAGTGCACAACATCAAATAGAGGAAATCCAGCAAGCAACGTAGAATATTAAGCGCTAATATTATGAAAACACTCACTGTTTTCCACAAAAATATATCCTCATCAATTATCACAAATATCTGCGGCAAGCATGCTAAAAAGATATCTCTCCTTCTTTTCAATGTAAACTGTGTTTTGTTTTTGTACTGCTAAAGCACAACAGAGTGAAGGGCACACTCTGCTGGTCAGAAGCACCATTTACACTGAAAGCTTTTTAACAATGTGAGTACTAAAAAATAAATCCCATTATATGACATCTGGACTTGAAGTGGTGCTCCACAGTAGGCTGCTACTTGACGTTTTTTCATCCTGTGTATTAGAGACAACGGCTATGATGCTATGAATGGACTTTCTCATGTTTAAACATCAGCCTACCTGCTGTAAGAACACTTTCTTTCCTGAAGGACATTTTTTAGCAGTATAACATTGTTCAAAAACTCTTTACCTTAGGCTTTTCATCCAGTATTTGTTGACGAATCTCCTTGTGTTTTTCTACAAGTTTTTCCTGTCTTTTACTCTGAGCATCTTCTAGCTGTAAGAAAAGAGCAGAGAATCTTTTTTCAGAGATTGCACATCCTCGCTTTCCCACCTCGTCCCCAACAAATATTTCACCCGTCAAAATTAAAATGTTATCATCAAAACTATGAATAATTCTAATATAAACTTACAGACCATTGTCACAAGCACCCCTGAGCACAACTGCTCTACCAGTTGTGTGTGGACAATGTATCTCAGATTGCACACATGGGATTTGGAATCAGAAATGTCTAAAGGACTTATTGTAGACTTCTAATGCTATTAAAAGCGTAATGCATTTTTAAAAATCATATTATTTTGCTTTAGCTTTTATTGTATGTGCTGTGTGAGATGGACCCTGTTCCCAGAGGAAGAGGATTTGCATCCTAGAGTCCTAAATGAACAGGCTGATAAATTTTGGGCCTCATTTAATAAAGCACTCAGACATGTGTCTGACTCCAACAGGAATTAAACATACTTAATTTGCTAATTCTTTAGGTTGCTTCCTGAATCAAGGCCTCTGCGAGCAAAAGTGGGCCAACTTTTGAACTGAACTCTCTCTGCACTGAAATTAAGAGAAAATTCAATAGCGGCATATGTTTCACAGTGATTTCACACATCAAAATGCTGCAGTGCATACTTTCAGCCCAGTGTAAACCACCTATAGCTTCAGAAAAGCTAACACCTGTGATGAAATTCTTTGACTTGTATTTACAGAGCTCATAGAAGGTTTTTTGCATTTCAGTAACTGTACAAATGTAATTAAGGTTAAAATATACTCTGTAATTAAATGTTTATTGACTTCCAGAGTTCCTTATGCAACCTTTGTATTCATGAGACAGCGAGCCAATTAAAAAAGCTGGTACCTTTTCCATGAATAAACACAGGATATTCAAAGATGAAATCACAACTGTATTAAAATCTGCCCCTCTTAGCACCATCCCCCAAACACTGACTAACAATTAATCAAGATCTGTCTGAAATTCCAGTTTTCCTTTAACTGGAACGTGAAGAGAAGTCTATGCTGCATCTGTTAAAAATTGGCACTTGCAGAATCTTTATACCGAAGCTTAGAATCTGCAGTTTACTATGACCTAAAATATGAAAGCTGACATTTTACCCCCCAAAATGAAAAATAAACATGTGGCCTGACATACCCGTTTTATGTACTGCACCACCTCCTGGATATAGGATCGAATCATTTCAGTCTTCTCTCTGGGGAGAAGCAATCAACAAGTTATTGGAGTCAGTAAGATTACACCAATATATTTTAATCCACCACAACCCCTTACAAAATAAGTAAGGCTATGTTTTGAATGTACGGATCTGCCTACGTAACTTTTATCCGCTTCCCAAGCGTGCCTTTTGTAACAGGCTGCATCTTTATTGTACGAAGGGCTCAGACTTCCCCACGACCTGCCACAGCAAACCCCCTGCTCTTTCACAACGGGCTTTTCCCATAGGGTACTGCCACGTCTTCAAAGTGATGGTGGTGTTCCTTAAGGCCCAAATGTCAGTTGAGGAGAGCGCACGATCATCAGTAGATGCACACTGCCACATTGTGGCACATTACGTAGCGGAGAAACAGTCTCGGGCAGCGAGCAGATACTGCTGGTGACATCGCAGAGACAGTGGCCAAGTTCCCACGAAGAGCAGGGCAGACTCGACTTCGGTCCCCAGCTTTGCTATGTAAACCACACAAAGCTGAACTTGGAGAAAGTACCTGAACTTTAAGTGACTCGGTGAGATAGTTATTAGGTAACCTTTGGTCAAAGGCTGAAGATGAGATCCCCCAAAGGGATAAATGCACGTAAAATAACAATTTGTGGATACCTGAGGTGACCAGATTCAGGACAGTACTCTAAAACCTAATTACCGGAATTTCTGTCTATTCAGGTGGCACTGAACCCACACAATCCCTGGGTGCAATGTAGGAATTAGAAAAATTAAGAAACAATTAATACAATGTATTATCTCTGTGTAATATTCTTTCCCAAATTTGTGTAAAAGCTTTAAATAAACAACAGCCTAGCCTGGATGACGCGAATGGGATTCACCAGAAGGTCTCGCGACTCTCTGTCCTACTGCAAGAATGAGGACAAACTGTGTCACTTGACAGAGGAAAGCTGAGTTTCCTGTGTAGTTCCCATCTCCTCTTTCCCAAGGGCTCTTTGAAAAGCCTGGCAAAGGAAAGCCCTTGGGAAAAATAAAAAAATAAAAAAAAAAAAGGAAAACAAAAAAGAATTTCTACTTGTCTGTTTCTCAGCCTCTCTCACTAGTGTCTCATTAATCTCTCAGCAAATCATTTCCTATTGCAATTGATTTTTACTGCTATAACGTTTTCGTAATGACTAACTACTTTTTTCTAATAGGACTTCCATGCCCTCTGACCAGCTCTAACCATATTAAGTATTTCTCTTTTTTTTCATAACCAATTATTCTCATTTTGTTATCTTTTTTCTAGGATGTTTATTAGAATTATAATATACAGACTCTTAAATTATCTGATGCAGTTTATTCTGTGTGTGTGGCCTTCTTTCAGTGTTACCAAATACACAGATTCTATGTTGAGAGGCTCCAAAACCTTTATAAACCTTTTTACCTGTAGAAAACCAAACATAGTTGTGTCTTTGTTACTTGGTAAAACTCAGATATTCTGAATTTTTCTTTTTTTTTGTTCCTCCTGTATTTTTAACTGTCCTTAAATGTTACTAAAGTAAACACAGGTAACAAGAATATCCCAGCAAACAGTGCAAGATTAAAATGCTCCATTTTCTTTTTGAGCTGCTTGCCAAAACAAATGAAGGAGGACAAACAAAACCTAGATACTGTGCCCTTGGGAAGAATATAATCAACTTGCACAACTACAGTTTGTATTGTCTGGTGGTGCATAAATGAAATTAATATTCCTGTCCCTGGTCACAGAAACTGCACCCTCAGAGCTCAGCTTTCCTCTCGCTTCCACCCAAAGTGACTGCACACTGCATAGCACTTGTCACCGGAGGAGAATCAGTAGCACAGCATCTGAGGGGAATTTATTCACAAAAGTAGAGCAAACCTTCCAGTATGTTGCTGCTATTCCTTCTGGAGAGCAGCTTTAACAGAGTTAAGAAAAGAGAACTCACAAATAAAAACCTAAGTTAAGGTGAAATCAAACCCTGCAGGAACTGAAGGCTCTTATGAGGAGCGGCTGAGGGAACTGGGGTTGTTTAGCCTGGAGAAAAGGAGGCTCAGGGGAGACCTCATCGCTCTCTACAACTCCCTGAAAGGAGGTTGTAGCGAGGGGGGTGTCGGTCTCTTCTCCCAAGTAACAAGCGATAGGAGGAGAGGAAATGGCCTCAAGTTGCGGCAGGGGAGGTTTAGATTGGACACGAGGAAAAATGTCTTTACTGAAAGAGTGGTTAAACATTGGAACAGGCTGCCCAGGGCAGTGGTTGAGTCACCATCCCTGGAGGTATTTAAAAGACGTGTAGATGAGGCACTTAGGGACATGGTTTAGTGGGCATGGTGGTGTTGGGTTGATGGTTGGACTCGATGACCTTAGAGGTCTTTTCCAACCTTAATGATTCTATGATTCTATGAAGCCACTAAGTCTATTTATACTCAGAGGAATAGCGTCTGGATTAACAGCATCTTGGTGAATCACTCCGTCATGCCACTCACAGGCATGTCCCCATACCACACATCAGCACCTTTGCAGCTGACCCAGACTCTCAATGCTCGCAGAACAGGAGATTAGATTAATCCCAGGAAAGTAAATTAGTATCAGCAGAAATAAGGAGGACTCCACTGCTCTGGTAAGGTATTACAGTCTGACTAAAAGCTGCCTTGTATTTAGGGTTGAGACCTTTCTTTGATTTTCCAGTTGTGAAAAATGTAGTGTCATAATGTATAAGGATACGGATCTAGGGATATACTTACTCTTCCATTTGATTTTTATCCTTGGACTTTGCTTCTGTGATCTTCTCCTGCCTCTTCTTGTCCATTTTTTTCTTCAGTTCTTTCTTTTCTCTAAAGCATAAAACATAAAGGCAAGTTCAAAATGTACCTAAACAAAACCCACATGGAGTAGTAATCAATCATAAGGGGAATAGCACCTTACTTTTCACATGTTTCTTTCAGTTTCTTTAGCTGGCTGTTCTGACACTCCTCTGCTACATCTGTCAACTTCTGAATAAGCTAGAAAAAAAATATCCCAAGAAACAAAAATACGTATTTTCAGCTAAACATCATACATGCATCTAAGTTTCCTCAAGAGTCTGTAGCAGACATGAAAGTGTTACACCATTCCCTGATTAATTACCAATGATCAAAAGCCAGTCAACATTCTTATCGGTGTAAATGCATTCTTAACTTGCAGAGTCTAGCCAGACTTGTGTATGTCCAACTTACACAGAAACTACTGCTTCTCTGTACATCAAGGTGATATAGTTTCTGAATATTACATGTAAAACCAAAATATATTTGGCAGATTTTACCTTCGCTAGGAATTAAAATGCCTGTGATAATTCATAAATGGTCACCAACTGAATTTATGCAATATAAATTACAAACTGAATTCCTGTGTCACTGAATATTCAAGGTTTTCTGCGAGTGCTGAAAACATTCCTCTTGCATTGAGCATTATTACATGGAACAGCTTGGATTTCAGGGTGGTCAGGTGGATATTGAAAATTCATGCACGATAGCTAAGGAAGCTAATTATAGATAAGCATAGCCTACATTTTAATCACAGAATGATGGATTCAAAAAAATCTGAGTCGTTGGTTTGAAATCTGCTGCGCAGCGCTGGGTCCAATCTCATTCAGCTCGAAACTGCTAACAAAAAGCCTGCTTGCGGTGGTGATGCTGACGGGAGAGGACACACGGACAGACAGGGCTTGTGTGCAAGTTCAATGAATGGTGAATTAAAGTGAGAAATAGGACCGATTTGGTTTGATCACCCCCTCTAGTTTAAGTCTGAGTCTGTAAATTAATCGTCAGGATGATGAACCAGAGCATGTATAACGCTGCCTTAGCCAGTCTGATCCAGCTTTTCATTCCTTAGATAAAAGAAGAAAGATATTGACAGTAGCTTGTCCTCTAAAAGAAAGACATCAGAAAGAATCTCTTGGCCGCAAAGCAGATTTTAATTGAAATGTTAACTCCTGCACAGCTCAGAGGGAAAACTGCCTGAAGGTTCTGTGCTAAAATATGACTTTATCCTGACACTACCTAACTGGACAATGCTGAAAATGTAAGTTTGCTTTGAGAAATGCCATTTCCATTTTGAAAGGAGAAATGAGTTAGCTTACAATATAAGCTCAACTATGTGGGTCCAAAATGGTTTGTTTTCATAAAAATTAAAATGCCTGAGATGCAGCCAACAACTGTTACTTGAATGTGGGCTCTCTCCCTGCAGCACAGGTAACTGTGTCCATGCACCCACACTGGAGCAGGTCCCGTTGGGTAATGCTGAAGTGAGTCACATACAACCGGTGATAAACAGGGCACCGCCTGGGAACTGCAGCACCATGCTATGATCCATGGGAATGAATTTGTGAAAAGGCCTTGCTGAGCCATATCCATGCATATCACTCCTCTGACCTGCTCTTTTTGGATGGCAGGGTAGAGTAGACAAATCACTTCATCCAACAGTAATGAGGGAAAACATCATATAATAGAAAAAAATCCTGAGAGAGGATTGTCTGGAGTTGAGAAACAGTTTGCGCTCCCATAAAACCCTTTAAAAATGTTCTTTTCTGCCTGAGAGTATCTATCAGCATCAGCTGCCATCTGCCCAAGCTCCTCTATTTCAGCTCAGAGGGCCTATGATCCTGCTGTAGTTGTCAGCCAAACTCCAGCTGTGAAAACACAAGCTGGCTTGGACTGATGGACGCAAAATATTTCTTCACCATATACAGATTATGTCCTGCATCCCCTTAAAGCATTCATCGGCAACAGGAACACTGTTTGGCACACCTCTCTGCCCTGGGGAATGTTTGAATCTCTTTTCATTTATTTATTTTCATGGTGTTTCATTTTGTTTTCCAGCTAATCCTGCCTCCTTGAGTGTTGTACATTTAAAAAAATGGCAGAACAAACTTGGAACATCATCCAAAAGCTGCAATAAACTGAGACTTATGTAACTAGAGGTAAGGACTCTCTGCGTTAGCAGTAGTAATAATCCTGTTGCCTTTCTGCCTTCCATCCAAAGCCTTCCAAGTTGTTGGAAACATTAGTGACAAAGTGACACAACAGCCCCTTGAAGTTGCAGCAGACCACAGGGAAAAATCAAGCTCTGAAATGGACTCCAAGTAAGAGGAAGTCCCACTTAATTATAATGTCATGCTGCTTTCATTGCTCACCCTGAGATCGCTAAAGAAAAGCAGACAACGTAACAAACGTACCAGCTTAATGTGCTCTCGTTTCTGGTACTTTTCACTGTAATACTGCTCCTGTCGGAGATTTAGCAGCTGCTGTTGTTGCTTCTCCTTCAGCTCAACTAGCTTCTGGGTCATTTCAGAGTCGAGCGCAGCTAATTCCTGTTCGATAGTTGAAGAACTGTGGTCTGGGCTGCCCGTTTCAGATCTGCAAAGAGACATACACACCCCAGCAAGGTCTAAGCCACTAGGCATGTACACTCTGCCCCTTATTTAAACCTTGTTTTCAAGGCAGCTGGTTATATGTAGCCCATTAAGAAGTTTCTCAGCACCACATATAGGGCCAGAAGATGATTTTAGCTCTAGTAAGTCCAATAATTTCATCTTTTAGGAAAAAAAAAGCATTAACAGTTTAATAATGGGATGGCTATTGCTTTTAAACCTCATTTTACTAACCCACCATGGTGGTGTGAACCGGACTTAGTATAAATGAGCTATAAATGCAACTGCCAAGATTTCCCATAAACAGATGCCCATGGAACTTGTCTATCCACCTCCAGATGTGTAACTTGAACTTCAAAGCTGCAAAGTCCTCAGCAGAAATGGTGAATGCTAAGTATTTTGAAAACCGAGTCATTCTTGCATACACTTAGCGATAAATCTAAGAGCATAACTTTACATCTGCATTTATAAAATGCTTAAAACGGTAGGAACATCCCTTTATTTGGCATTTTCTCCCCCCTTCAGGAAATGCCATGCATGGCACACACAGCGGAAAGTGCTCCATGGACTGGTGACTTTAGAAGGCAAGTTAACACCCCAGTGGGGAGTAAACCTCAGAAAGGCAGCACATAGGAGCAAAGGAAAAACATAATGAGGAAGCTAAAAAGCAACGCTAAGGAACAGTTTTGTTTTGGTTTTTTTTTCTTTCTTAAGACAGAAGGAAGGATAGATGTAATTGTAAAAGGAGACATGACATGACAACACTAAAGTGCTCAAGGGAAAAATAAGCAACAAAAGCAGTATCATTCTCAGGCCAGCAGTAAACTAAACCCAAGAAAAACATTAAAAAAAAAAATTATGCCGTCTCCTTGCTCTGCGTGTTTACTGACTGCTGTAGTGAGGTGTTAAATCAGTTGCCAAAAAAAAAATTATGCCGTCTCCTTGCTCTGCTGCTGTGTTTACTGCTGTAGTGAGGTGTTAAATCAGTTGCCTGGGAAACCTCAGGAACAGTGCATGAGATGGACAAAACAGCAAAACCTTGAACAGAGAGGGCTGACACTGAGAAAAATGAGTTTGCTACTCAGAAACTTGCAGAGATTACAATGCAGAGAACTTGTTACACTGGCTGCCTCTCTTTTCTCTCCCAGGTTCAAGTTTGCAGCTGCTGCCAATTAGAGTAACTTCAACTGAAATAATGTGAAGCTGCTTTCATCAGTCTGAGGATACGAACCAAGGTAGCCTCTTTTTATTTCTTGTACTTTTATTGTATTTGAATATTCTGCTAAGAGGTGTCAGTGTGATAGGTGTGGATAATTTAAATACAGAGCCAGAAGACAGCATTAATGAATATTAAAGTCAGCATATTATGCCATTACACTATACATTTTAAAGCTGACGTTTCTCTTGTATTTTTGGGAAAAAGAAGTAAGGCCTATTTCTAAACGCTGGCTAAAATACTAAGGCTGTGCTTTAAGGGACATAATCATTAAAGAAACTTCAGAACACCACCAGCAAAACACTTCCACATGTGTATAAATAAATACTTCAAACTTCCCTTAGACAACAGCTTTACTGAATCTCGGTCCAATTTTAGACAAGGGCGTGAAACATGGATTGCTTCTGACCAGAGACAACAGATTTGTATGGCAATCTGATACAGGGACTCCTGATGAAGTAGTGATTTATACTTTACAGTTACAGGCAAATAGCTTCGGTAATAATTTAAAATGATAAAAATCACCTTTTTCCTTGGGATGCAGTATTCTATTGGAAGTCTTCTGCTTGAGATAATATGTACTTGCAAGTTTGAAAATCCCTAAAAATATATTCCTGCCTTTTTAAAATTCAACCTCAGATATTTTAACCTTCAGATTTCTCTGTATCTGCACATAAAACTTCACAACTCTGAAATCACTGTGACAGCTCCACGTCATAGACTGCAGGGTTTTATTGCCTGATATCATGAATGATTTATGGTCAGATCATAACAAAATAAAAACCCAAAATGAGTCATTTTATTTATTCAGTTTGTTTTTCTGCTTAAATTTGAATAGAATATGCTAGAGAAAAGAAACATGGCATTGCTTTGTCTGCCACTATCTGTCGCACACATTGATGATGGAAAATACAGCGGATAAAATAACACTGTGTGTGCAGTTGACAACCAGTCATTAAAGGAGTTTGTTAAACTCAAGCGTAGAACCCAGAAGCCTGAAAACTGGCAACAGTTAAGGCCAGCTGAACATAGATATATTATGAGTGTTAAGCTCTTGTTAAGCCCAATGACATTCTGTCATCCGGCAGGCATAAATGAATAAGCTCCTTCCTAGGGACAAGTTATGGCCTGAATCCCAGTCACTTACAGAGGTATTATCAACAAGGTTAGCAGCCAGAGCATGCTTTCAGCCTTTTTCTCTGATGACCTCCTACCAAAAACTACAAGTAATTTTTTTTAATGTTCATTCAGTGAGTTCATATTTAAGAACTGCAGCTATATCAATTTTATGTAAAAGTTAAAGGAGTTTTGTGCTTATCTAATTACTTAAAAAAATAAATTATGTCAAAATGAGAATGCTGCACTAACGGCAGAAATAAAAATTTAGGCGGGTACCCCTACCTGATTATCATTCAATTGTAACAGTATCAGACACTGATTGTACCTATGTGTGTATATGCTTTGCCAGGACTTAAGAATTGATCTTTGTTAACACATAGTTCCTTACCATATGAACAAGACAATAGTTGTGGAAAGATTAATGAGTCATAAGAGTCTCTGCATTTCAAACTGATAATGATAAATACAACTCTCCTTTTTTATTCTTACCTACACAAATAAGATAAAAATTACATCAGCACACACAAAGAGACAGGGCAATGCAAGATTTAGAAAGAGACAGAGCACAGAAGGGGTGTGCATGCAGAGGCAAAGCCAAGCAATCGATAAGAGATCCCCAAGTGGTCTGGATCAATCGTAATGTGAACAGCAGTCCAATGTTAATAAAACTTTCAGGTGTTTCTTTCACCTAATTATACATCTGATGCCTTCTACTCCAGCATGGGTTTTTCCCAGGGCTCTAACTTGGAGACAGTGCTCTTCATCCCCAAATTCAGAATATCCGTTTTACCCATAAATAGCGTAAAAGAGGACTAAGTTTTGTTCCTGTTTTGACACTTGGGTCTCTTTTGCCACCAGGCAGCACACTGTGGTGGCCCGGAGTAAACCAATTGCTTAATATGGGCACGATGACCATGTGTGCTGGCTGCAAAAACTTCTCCTTGCTTGAAAAAGGAGCTACATTATAAAGTTATATTACTAATTGTGGAGTAGAAGTTTCCATCGAACAGATACTCCTCCTAAAGGAGGTCAGCATGGGAGAAGATGGGGTGCTCTGATAAAACATGCTGCAGCTGACCTGAGTAGGAAAGTAAAACACTTTATCCAGATGGGTTTGAGAGCTTTTGCGCTGCAGTCTGGTTCCTGAACTGCCCCAGTACGTAGGGGATGCCCCATCTCGTAGTTTGTGATTATGCTCACTACCTAACCACTGGCTGCCGTTGCCCGTACAGCCGAGTCACCTACCCATACCAGCAGTCTAGGGAAAGTGCCAAGATAAATATTGCGTGCCCTCATTTACAGGGAAAGAGGTATAACATGGTGAACAACTTATCTGGCTTCTAGCAGAGCAGCAGCACATCATGGAGAGGGCTTTTTCTGATGATTTCCATATCAAAGGCCCTGACTTCATTTTACCTAGGACTCTTGCTGCTTTTGATTTTTTTCTGTGCTGTAATGTCACCTCCATATTAATTGTCTACTATAGAAGAAGACTTGAGTAAAGACCTCCAATACCAAGAACAGGAAAGCTACGTTCAACATACCTTTTCTTACTGTCTCTTTTTGCTGTTTTTTCTAAAACCGCTCTTCGTCGCAGGTAGTCATTTTGGATTTCATTATACTTTGCAGTGTGCTCTTTGATAAGGTCAGTGGTTTTCTTGTGGTGCCTCTTTACAAGGTCTTTCATTTCCTTGTAGTGCTTCTTCTGAAGTTTAACAAAAGACTTCTGTTGTTTTAGCTCCTCAATAGTCTGTGCTTCCACTTCTACAATGATAATAAGAAAAGCCACTTCCATTTTCTAATAACATACGTTTTCAATCAGAGAAGCCAGAAATTGCCATTAGCAGGAATGAAACAAAGCATGCTTGTTTACAGCTGGTAAGTGAAATGTGCTAGCTTAAACTGAGTAGACTTATTTGGAAATAAGCTAACCAGACTGAAAATACTGTGGCAAATTTAATTGATATAAGAGTAAGAAGTGAGATGAAAATTTAGAACACCAAGATGTGTAGCAAAATAAAAACCATGCACTTTCTTTCCTCAACCCCTTTTAGATGCAAAAGATTCCCATCAGCCCAACATATAAACCCATGATCTCACATAGATATGACCACAGATCTTTATTGTATCCACTGTACCAACAATTCAAGTCTCCCTTCCCTCTGGATGGGCTACATAACATGCTGATGCCTAAACCCCCTTCACAAACAGCGCTTCAGCTGCCTGCTCTCCTGCCTTGACCCGGGCACTGGCTGGAGGCATCTGTCCCCGTATCATCATGGCATCTCGGGAGAGATTTCACTTCTCTCTTGATGGAGGCCCTGCATCAGAGGAGTCATGGCCAGCTGGCTGCCAGTCCAGCAAAGGATCGGTAGCCAAATGCTGAGAACTGCCCTCCAGTGCTGTCACTCCAACAGCAGCTCTGAAGGATGTCCTGCTCTGTGAACCCAGATCACAGCTCAAGCTCAGGGTCCACTAGCCTGACCTCCACAACCTCACACTAAATCAGCAATTAAAAAAAAACAAACAAAAAACCAAAAGTGCTGGAGGGAATGATGACTTTGCATGATCTGGAGTCACAGCTCTGGGAAAGCCAGACTGAAGACCCCTTCCCAGACAACAGACTGATTGTATGAGGCCAGCAGGTACTTCCACAATCTAGGCCAGCCTCTTTCTACTGCACGTGAGGGAGACTGAGTAAGAGGCAATCAACATGCAGAATTTCATGTGTCTTATCCGTTTTCCACACCTAAATGTAGGCCTACACAAGATTTGGACATGGAGTGTGTTCTAATGTAGGAGAATGACTATAAAATAAACTGAGTTATGAGATTCTCAATCTAAACTCCAAGCTAGAGGACATGACTCCCAACAGTAGGCACTATCTAACTGACAGACCAGTTTGCTTGATGTAATGGTAATTTCAATTTTGTAGGAGCAATGGGAGCACTGCAAGGCTAATGGAGATAAAATGGTTTCACTACTATTCACAATATTCAGAGCAAATTTGGCTTCTGTTCTCATAATGCTGGCCTTTTGTCTGCATTAGATGGTAACGTTGTGCTTGGGAAACCATAAAAATGGGATATTTTAAAAAAAATTCCCTGTTGGCACCCACTACCGATCTCATGAAACATGTGCTCAAACATTTAATAACTTCAAAGCTGAGGAAGAAAACATGGTATGTACATTTTCTATGAGTTACTGCAGTCCTAATCACTCAAAGAAATGTCTAAGCCAGATGGCCTATTTCATTAAAAAAATATGTTTCTCTTGACAAAAAGGTGTATCATTCATGCAGTGTAAATTGGTGTATTTATTACCTGTGAGGACGCTCTGAATAAGATCTTCTGTCTTTGCAGGTGCTTTCACCGAACCTAGAGGTAAAAGAGATGACTGATTCTAATTCTTTTAAAGCAACAGCCATTATTGTGCTGCTGGGTTGCATATTAAAACATGGCAGGTGACACCGGACATACGCTCACATGGGCATTTATTAATCATTTGAGAACACACATCTCTTGAGCAGAAGAGTACCAACGTGGAAAACAACACCGATCCTGTGAACCAACACGAAAAGGTAACCTTCCGAAAACCCACCTGAGCTTTGTGGTTTTACTTACGAGGATGTTACTGAACTCACTGATACCACTCATATGAGTCATTTAAGTGGTATGAGGCTGACAGTTAGTACAACTGCCCTATATTACGATGTCAGTGCAAAATTTCTGTACACAAGATGAATCCAGCTCCTTGGAAGTCAGTTAGATCAAGCCTATGAAGACTGCAGTCATAAAATTATAAACACTGTGGTTTAACAAGCATTTGTTATAGGCGATATGTCAATACAAAATATAGAAGTATCTAAGACTGTATTGTGTGTGTGGAATAAGATGTAACTACATGCATAAATTAGGCATAGTTGTAAAAACAATTTAAAGAGATTCCTGCGCTTGCAACAACAACAACAAAAAAACCACCCAGCAAATTTTCTTGCTTGTATGAACTTCAGTTCCACCACAAAAGCAACTCTTGAATAGAAGAGATTTGTATATTTGAAGAAGACTGGCCCTAACAGCATAGCAAAGTAGTGGGGAAATTTCTACCTATTTTATAAAAACAAAACCAACCAACCAACCAACCCCCCCCCCCTTTGTTCTTAAAACTCAAAGCACATGAAAAATTATTATCCAAATTTATTCTGCAAAGATGTGACTTTTTTTGTTTTTTTGTTTGTTTTTTTTTTTTACCTGGTGCTGGTTGGCTATGGACAACCTGAGTTGCTGGTTTCGGTGTAAGAGAGGCAGTGTAATTTACTCCATTTTCTGCTGGTGTTGGCCTAGGTTCATTGTTAGCTTCGGACGGTGCATCTCCATGGTCAATCTGAAAATACATAATGCTTTACATCACTCTTCCCAGCTAACAGACTTAAAACTATTTATTTGCAGGTCTAGTTTAGCCTCTTTTTTTAAATGTAAAATTCTGCAAATGTTATATAGAAATCACTCTAAAAGAAAACAAAACAAAGCTATCCTTAAGAGCCATGGTAATCCAGGTGGTTCATTTTTGCAGGGTAAATTTCAAGAAGAAATAGAGCATGTATTATTCTGGAAAAGATTTTTATTTTAAGTGGATATAACTCATCAGGGACGTTTTTCATTACAGTATATATTAGCTGCACCAGATGTGAAATCTGTTTTTTATTGAAAAGCATTGTTCTCTGCCATAAAACCTTTCTAGAAATAATGTAGAAGCTGGCATGAAAATGCTGCTCAAATCCCTGCTGTGAAAAAACGTGTACACAAAATTACTTTTAAATTTCATAGATACACACAGCACTATCATTATTCACCATTCTTACAGAACAGAGACATACTTCTGATTCCCAAGACCTTACATTCTTGTAATTACACTCCAAGGATAATATATAAACAGTATCTCCATCCTGCTGCATAAATACATCTGTGGTATCCAAACGTTTAAGCATTTTCCACAATCTTTTCTTTCTCTCCAGTTTCCTAAAGGCTCAGGCTTACAGCGTACGTTGTACTACGCGTTGAACATCTTCTAATTTTCCTTGTGACCGTGAGGTTTTAAGCAAGCACCCGGCACTCAGCAAACAGAAGGTCGTTCACAGCAAGTTTTATTTTGAAATGGCCAAGCCCCCCTTCCTGCTGTCCCTGCGAGGGGCCAGTTGCCATGGTGTCCCAGGGTAGTTTTGGATTTGTTCCTTCAGCTGCTTCCATTTCACTCTTTGATTGTAATCACATTACATGCAGAGGCAGCATACCACAGTTGTTTTTTTCCCCTTGATTACTCCACACTTGCAAAATATCAGCCTGCACTGCATCAATAGAGGCAAAATACATTTTGATCTAACCGTTTTGTGCTGCTCTTGCTGCTGATTTCCTTCATCTTGGCCCTGACAACATACTGTATATTGCAAAAGGATTTCTGTCTCAGCAGCCTATTTCTACCAAAATTATAAGACAGAGATACCGTAGTCAGAAACATGATGCAATTGAAAACCAATGCCAACAAATTCGTTTTTATCAAGCAGGAATGACTGCAAATAAGATAAGGAAAAATATGATCTAGCCAATATTTATGACAGTAGGACAACGTGACTGGCGAAAGCTGTAGCTGTGACAAACACACACAGACATGGTTATCCCCTCAATTCTCCTTAAAATATACTCCTCACAGGATGCAATTCATTAGTTTAATACAAACAATGTTTGCTATATAGATCATCAACATTTAACACAAATAAAGCTAGAATTCCTAACTTCTGGCAAGTTTGTGCCCCCAAAGTCACTGCATGGGAAAGTGAATTCCTAACTTCTGGCAAGTTTGTGCCCCAAAAGTCACTGCATGGGAAAGTATTACCTTCTTTTTTTGGGACTAGGTTTGTATGTGACGCGAAATGCTGCATCACAGCTTGTTGAGAAACTGTTAATACCGCCTGTCAGTTTTGGACATAAAACATCTGTTTGCAGAAACTAAAGCAGAAATGTGAGACAGGATCAGGAAGTGAATAAAGAGTAATTTTCACTACATCAAGCAAGCTAATCTCATTAAAAAGTACTTTCTCTTCTCATAATTCATCACACAGAATGCGAAAGTAAACATGATTTTTCCTTAGTGGAGAGTATTTCAGGCTCTTTTTAAAACATGATGTAATCCAGCCTTATACTTTATAGTTTTAATATTCACTGAAAATGGTTTATATTCCACATGTTGCCATGTCTTTTGCAAGACAGTATATTTACTAAGTAGAAAGATACATACCATACAGGTACATATCTATATGGTCTATTTTTATTTCTACAGAGAAAAGGAGCTGCACTGTGTTGGGGTTGGGAGATCTCTGTTGCTGCACTGTTAGGCTGCTTCTATCCTCCTTGGCAAAGTATAAGCGAGTGTAAGCAAGGTCTCCCTATAAGAAGTGTCAGATCAACTTAATTTCCATTACTGTAACTTGGTGTGATCATTATGATTTGCAAAATTATGCCTGAATTTTCATTTTAAATAGTGGTATCAGACATGCTAAGTGCAGCTGCTCTCCTAGAGATGTTTTTGTTTACTTTCCCTATCAAAATCACTTTATTTAACCGAAGAAGCCAACTGGCTTCATTTGATTTATATCCAGGCATGCAAAACAATAGTTTCCATTTCAACACTGTTTTATGGGTAGAAACAACAGGTCAGATGCTCTGCTGCTTCCATGTCAGACACATTAACGAGCCAGCAAGGCCTCCTCACTCCCTGATTCTGCAGTGGGAATTAACATGCAGGCCCAGGGACATTACACCAGCAGGCACAGCCAAAATGCATTTTACTCTGGCTAGCTTTTCCTGGACCCCTACACACTTCTGCTCCCGTTGACTGTGGGGATGAAAACGTACAAACTAGTTGCATCAATCTATTTTAGGCTGGGATTAATTCATCCTAAGGAACTCTCTGCAAATTTCTATGGCTTATTCCTCCTGTAAAGGACACCAGGCAGGGGAAGAGAAGGCAACCCTCACTACCTGCACGCTCATAAAAATTTACAGTGTATTCAGATAAGTACAGTTAAAGGTGCAAAACCCACACTGCAGGTATTACAATGCTTCCATTTTGCAAAAATAGCTGTTCTAAGCCCAGGCTGGAAAGCAAGAACTGACCAGAAAGCTAAAGGTAGGAATTCATGTTACACTCGTGATGGGAACATTGCACATAAATACAGAAAAGATGCTGTAAATTTTGTCAGTTCTTCAGTTATGTTATTACGCTGATAATTAACAGGCAGTGTAATCTGAAGCCTAAAGAAAGGCTAATTTATTTGTTCAAAACAATTCACTATTAGGTAGCTTATTTGACTACTGTTTTGCAAGAAGGCTGGGGAACTTCTTACAGCGATAAAGTTTAAACTTCTAGGTAGCAAAGAAAAAACCTCAGTTTTCCTGTGACAGCTGCAAGAACCCAGCTCAGATAAATAAATGTGTGTGAGGGGAGGGAAAGAGGTGTGGGGAGGTGGAATCTGTGCTAGGAGACAGCACAGCTTTGCACACAAACATTTATAGGGTGTAAATTTGAAACTGGACATAGGAAAATTGAATCCAGGTGCACTTACGTGCATTTCTGGCAAACATACTTGGGTTTATTTAGCTACGTTGCCAGTGAACGTACTTGCAATTGTTAACTGATGTGATTCTCGTGGGCCAATGTAAGTGAACAAAACAGTCAGCCTGGCTGACGGATGATGAAAACGTTATCATCACGTAACATGAGCAGGCAATTCAAGATTTCCAAGTACAGCCCAGCTGCCAAATACCTTACCCAGAATGGGCGTTTATAAATAGAAGGTAACAATGCTGTATTTAGATTGCCACTTAAAGTGGCAATTTTGTACCTGTCCCTTGCTACTGCACCTAACTGAATGGTTATACATTTTTACCAAATGCGCCACTACAATCATTACAGTTTTCTTTTAAAAAATATTTCTCTGCTACTCCGAAACAAGCTCCTTTATCCTATGAGCTTTCAAGCTCCTTGACATACGGTAGCGCTACCTGAGCACTACAATTCAGCTTCCCTGCTTCCCATTTGCTTTAGAAGATACTCTGTGACAGAATTTTTCTAACTAACAAATAAGCCTGTACAGACCAGGAAAATCTGTACTTTTTCAAAAGTAAAAATGACCTCTAAGGTATTTAAAGCATTATGTTAAAAAAAGACTTTGCTATTAAAATAGAATCTCATGTGTAGAGCGTCCCAGATAAATGTCTAAGATGCTATTGAGCATTTCACAGTGTCCTCATTCAGCCGAACTTGTGACACTGCACAAAGAGTAGATTGTTGGCCACTGAATTGTAATGACTTTCACTCATCTGGTCTGCTTTGGGAATGTATTCTTGGTTACAAAATCTAGTTCAATGAGGCTTTGCACATCTGAGAATTGAAGAAGACAGGCACCAGAGCTGAGGGCAGTTTAGGATTATAAAGCATTCCTCCACCTTCACTAGAGACCTGTACCGAGTGCCTTTTGATTTGCATGATGTGCCTAACACCTGACACAAGCAATCTTTAAAAGACAAGGTTGATATTTTCCAACACTGCTAGAAGACGTCCCAATGACAATGTCTGGAACAGAGAGACTGAACGTTTGAACATCTGAACAGAATAACCTCTCCAGCAACAGAGCCCGAAATTCCGGGAAATTTGTAACATTTTCAGGAAAAGCTACTGACATGGAGTCGTCTGTTTTGTAAGGGGAACTTCAGCATCACACTGGAAAACAACAGGCAATGGCTTACGAAGATTTCATTTACTGCGTAACAAAGTTGCAAATCAGCGTACTCATAACATGGTTTTTCATTCAGCTTTTGGTGTCTTTTTACCTCTGAACAGTAACTTGCTACATGCACAACATGCTGCCTTCAGTGAAACCACACACACAGTGCAATGCTTCTCAGCTATAATGTATCCTAGTCTCATTCTAGGTGAGATGTTTACAGGTGTTCAAGTAATCAACACACACAATTCCCAGGGACTTTCAATATTTATCTTTCTAAGCAAAGTAGGTGCTTTTAAACACTATAACATAACTTGCAGAGACTCTGAAACCTCCCTTACCTCTTTCTTTACCTCTTCTTCATCTTCCAGAGTCAGTGCGGCCAGTTGCTTAGCTCTCTGCTCCATCAAGTTTACATATCTGATTGGATTGGATAAGGCCTCGATCACGTCTAGAAATAATGCAAATACTTCAGTTTCAAACCCCTTATGTTATGGTTCCAGTGCTCCTCAGGTTTTAAGAAGGAGACTGTATTTTTCATATAGATCTGCTGCTGATAGGTACTCTCAGGTCCTAGAAACAACAGTGGAGGGGAGTACACCATCATGCACAAATACTCTTAACATGAACCCTCTTTGAGTTTGTGCTCGGGTCTCGTGGATGTGCATTTTCCGCAGTGTTTTATGATGGATTTTCAAAGCTTACAGCATCAGCCAACTAGGATCCTGCTTCACGAGGCACAGAGGAGCATTAGTAAAAAACCTGTTTTTAAAAAAAATCAAAACAGCTATACAGAATACTGTTTTTCACTGAAGATGCACAGTATGGTCTTTAAACCTATCCTTGTTTAGAGCTGATTCCAAAATACAATGCTCTGCATTAAGCATGGCACTTTGCTTAGGAAACAATTACATACTACCGTGTCGCATAAGCAGTTTCATTTGTGTTTCATCAATGGCAAATGCCTGGGGTATTTCCTCCTTTAGAGTCATACGAGGTCTGCTGAAAATAAATTGCCCCTAATCCTAAACCTCAGCTAGGCCGCTGTAAATCAGGCCATCTTGTATGAGTGATGAGACATAATGATCCAGCAGGTGCAGAGGTTTGTTCACAGGACTGTTATCCCGATATGGCAAGTCATCTACACCACATTCACTTTGCGTTTCAATTAACCTTTATATTTCCCAGTAGGAAAATGTCACAGAATTACCTGCATAAGTATCAGGTACATAGTCTTTGACCTCTATGTACACAAAGAGAGCTGGCAGTGTCAAAGGTTGGTTCCTCTCGTTCCTCAAACAGATGTAGTGATAGCCTGCAAAATAAGAAACGACCAGTTCAGAGCATGAACTCTTCCACAGGCATTTCCAATGTAATTGTGTTAGCATTTGTTATTTATAGTGTGGCTCCAACTGAGCAAGCAACCCCAGGGACTTCTGGTAGGGAAAGATTTACCTGAAGGCTTTCAGTGCTAAGTATACAGCCAGGGGACTGTTAGAAAGGCACATGACACTGCAGTTTAAAATAGTAACTTCCCTTTATTTTTACATCTGTGAATAATGCTAAAAAGTGTCATTTATATAATTTTTTAGGCATTCTATTTTATTACCTTTGGCTGGATTGTTTTTTTTTTTAGTTTCAGAGCTCTTATTTAATTTTCAAAAGCGACCCTTGTAATACTCAGGAATCTGAACAGCCAAGTAAAACTGAGATGTAATAGTCCATCCACAACACAGTATCTAATTTAAAAAACAGAAAATGTGGCACTATATCTACAAAGTGTGTGTGTGTATGAACCCTATCATGTGACCAACCTGAGAAATACATCTGAAAAAAAGAGTATTTTCAGACTGTTTTGAACGCTGGCTGTCTTGTAAGAGTAAGGGCGCACGTTACAGTGCAGCTTAGCCAAGCTAACGGCGAGGCACCACAGATGGGGCAGCCCCAAACCCTTTCTCCCAGCCACCTACCACCATCACCTCTCTTGCGCACTGACACTTTTCTGACTTTGTAGATAGGCAGCTCAGCAAGCTAAACTCTGGAAAAAGCAACCCTCAGAAACGGTGAACAGTCTTCCATCAATTTAGCTCCCCAAAATGCCTCACCATAAGGTCAGACGTATTAATGCCAGTTTAAAGACAGTGATGGAAGTGCACAGGTAGGGGTGGGAGAAAGGGACTTTCAGTCCCAGCAAACTGTTACAGCATCACAGTGCTGCAAAGCTGCATCCTCTGCCTCACAAGTTGGTGCCTCCCACACCATGGCTGAAGCTGTTCTTCTAAGGCACGATAACAGAGCCGCACGTACGGGTAGTGTCAAGATACAAGTCATGAGCAGGATGCACTTATCTGGGGGGATCCTCACTTGGCTGATGTGAACAACTCCCTCTCCAAGTAATGGTTAAATCCTTGCTTTGGGAATAATGGTAATTCTGTGGATTTGTGTGGCAGTATGATACAGTTTTCAATAATGTCTCAGAAGAGAGAAATTACATACTAATTATGTTTCTCAGTTCCCTCAAGCTCCTCCAGCAAATGTTCAGCATGTACACAAACTAAAATCAACATGTTGTTCTCCATTGCATGCTGTAAAGTAATGATTACTGGAGTGAAAAGGACAGAAGATAGGCCTGCGGGTAAAAGCTCTCGAAAGTCCTTGTATGATTTAACACAGTGGCCTTTGTTCTAAAAAGCACAAGCTGAAAAGCAGGTACACGATTCGGTGCTCTGCTGAATGGACTCTGTGCTGCATGAAGGGCGAGTGCCATGAAAGGGGATCAGCCACGGTAAGAGTTCACTTTCACCAGAAGAGGGAAAGCATTCACATCCCCCTTTCTCCTCTCCAATCGCCTATCTTCCTCTGGAGCTCAGCAGATCCTCCATGAGGCAATTATATCCAGTAAGCCAGGAGAAAGCAGTGGAGAGTTTTCTGCTGGATTGGTAAGCGGAGTTGGCTCACAAAAAAGATGTGGAGATTGGCAGAGATGGCACAACAGAATGGCCAGGGATGCATGGCCAAGAGCAGGGTAGAGAGAAGGGAAGGAGAAGGGAAAGAGAAGTGACAACTGGTGAGGAACTCCTGGAGCAGTGACATGCCCAGCAGCCACCTCCCATGGCTAGCCTGTTTGCGCTTGCAGTGAGCCCATGCGACCCACACCAGCTAAAACAAAACCACTTGGAGCTCTTCTTAGAAGAGCCCTGACATCACCTGCCACAAGAGAAGGGACTGATTTATACATTACCTGAGGTCAGGTCTCCAGGAATAATATGGACAACCGTTAGATACAGGAATATATGAGTTTTGTGCTACTGCTGGGACTGGCTAGGTAAGGTACAGGGTAAATACAGATATTCTTCCTTTTCCAGTGTGAGTGAAGCTGGGAGCATGTTTATGGCCCATATGCTTGCCCTAATTTACTTTCCTCCCCTCCCCTCCCCTCACTGGAAAAGCTGGCGCTGAAGTCGAACGCTTCTCTTGCTCAAAATGCGAATGTCACTGCATCTTTCTGAAACATGATCTGTAACAAATCTCTGGGCTGCAAAATAAGGGCTGAGTTGTTGCAAAGACAATTTTCAGTTAAGTCACCACTAATTATAATAGAAATAATTATATGATTTGGAAGAGACCAGTGACGATTTTTTTTTTTTTTTTTTTTTTTTTTTTTTTTTTTTTTTTTTTTTTTTTTTTTTTTTTTTTTTTTTTTTTTTTTTTTTTTTTTTTTTTTTTTTTTTTTTTTTTTTTTTTTTTTTTTTTTTTTTTTTTTTTTTTTTTTTTTTTTTTTTAATTTTCAGCAATAAAGATGAGAGTAATTTTGGGTTGATTTAAAGGTTTTGCAGAGATACAACAGCTTGCATATAGGTCAGTCCTTGCACGCGTGTAAAAATTACATTAGAGGAGCGTATTTTGCTTTCATTCCCAGCTATCTCCCATTCTCGCAAAGATGACATCAAAATTGGCTGTTGCTGCCCTCTTTCCTCTTAAAAGTGTACAATTGCACTTTTTAACATAAAACTGTGAACGTGCAGTTGATCTACTGGAGACTAGTAAGTGCCAGCCATGCCTCTGATGCTTAATTCTGTTGGTTTTCCTGGTTCATTACAAATTTAAATTTCTGCTGAAATTGGTATGGTATTTTCCTTTTCAAAGTTGAGATAGATTATTCAAATCCCCAGTTGCTATAAATCTGCAGAGTGGCCGATGATTTACAGCACTGGGATTCTGGCTTGCTGCTTCTTTTCACTACATAATGTCCATCCCAATGGAGAAAAAAGGTTTACCTGGTCGAATTGCTGAGACTGGTAATATCCGATGACCAATAAATTTCCCTCCTTCTTCATACACTGCTAGCCTCAAACATGCCAGGGAAGGCAAAACGACCTAGAAGGCAATATTGTTGCATTATTAATTTTCTGCTCTGAATGAAACAGCTCCTTCCAGACAGGCTATATAGCAGACAGAAAGAGAAAGTTCAGTCTAGCAGATAGTAACATCTACCCAGGCATAGGAAGGTCTTACCATATAAGAGGTCAGGGTGTATGCACCTGTGTGTCAAAATAACTCATAGAAACATTTTTCAATCAAGAAATTTGACGTGGGACGTGTGCGTAGTATGTCGAACCCAGCAATCTGACCCTTCACTTTCAATACGATACAAGGGACTTTGGCAGCTCAACTCCTATCGCACTTGAATGCCACTCTGTTTTCTGCTCATTACTCACAGCCCTACGTGGTTTTTCTTCCTTTGTTTGTGCCAATGGGATTACTTACTTCTGAGAAAAGTCACCGATAGGCATATTAGTGTCGAAAACTCAACAAGCAACTCAACCTGTTTTGCAGAGTGTGAATGTATGAATTACGTGAACCATGTCAACCCCAGTAGAATTTTCCAGTGCTGCAGCACACTCACTGGCTGGGCTAAAGAGGTTTAATCAGGCAGGACATTTACTAGCATTGGACGCTTTCTTGGCACTACATAAGAAAGAAGGCCAAACAGTGAAAAAAGAAAACAAGAAATCAAAAAAGGTTACTTAAACTACCCTACTAAGATAGGAATCTTCAATATTACTTCAAAAGAATGTGTAGCATAATTCATCTAATTTTCTCACTTAATGCAAATATACATACAAATACACATCTTTTTAACCTGGGCACGGATACGCATTTTTTCAGAACATATGCTAAAATTCATCTAGACAATGATAGAAAAAAAACCAAAGCATCAACCCAAAACGAAGAGTTTCTCTAATTTATTTTCAATATTACTAAAAATAGTAATCTATGCTTCTCTGAGCACAGAGGCAGTCAGGCACGATCGTTAACTAAATAGAGAAATGAAGTACACTAATTAGAAGCTCATTAGAGAAGAAAAATGCTAGTGATGTTTCCAAACTTAAGCGCTGGCAGGCTGCCAAAGGAAAGTCATTCAGAAGGCCAAATATTCAGGGAAAAGGGCTGTACTCCCTAGAAAGCCCGGCTGCAAGTACCAATTGTATAAACATCTCTGTGAACTACATTTGCCTAGAGAAATAGGAAAGAAACTGTTTTACGAACACCTGGACTCAGGATCCACTTAACCACAGTGCCCAATAAGCAACCCCCAGAAATCCTGTTAGAAAACTGGCTGCCACGTATATTGTGAAGCACAGTAAGACATTCACGTTGCACAATCCTAAAACATGCTCAGTATTTTCTGCTCCCTCAAAGTTTAGAGAATTGAGTCTGAGTAACATCGTTCAAATTGCACGAGTAGCTCAGGAGCCCACGTCTCATTTCAAGTGGATGAGATTTATGTGGTTTCATCACCTAGGTTGTATTTATACAGCACAATCTAGCGCTAAGCAGAGATAACAGATTGCTTTGAATGTGTTAGCTTGGACAGCCAGATTGTTATAGCTGTATTCACATCGCCTTGCTCGCAGGTTAACAGGACCTGCTTTCCAGCAGGGCTGTTCAGCCAAGGCAAAATGGCAATTCAGCTAAACTGCTTCTGGGATCTGTGCTTGCTCGGTCATAGCATGGCACTGCACCGACACGTCTGCTGTTTCCAGCTGTGTCAGTGAAAGAATCAAGGTGACTTTACACTCAGTTATTTTAGTAGGAGCTGGCCTGACTAGAGTAGCAAAATTACACCAAAAGTGGTTAACAATAAACAGTTCAAGAAACAACTATTTGGAATCTCCTTATCTTCTTTCTAACAAATGCAAAGTTTCACTAATCCACAGAATTCCTCTACTGGACAGTGATAAAACAAGCACAATGCACGTTTGAGAAGCAAGTGTTACACCGACCTTCTTAAACACTATGGTTTCCTCTTCCCAGACGGGATTAACTGCATTGCCTTGAGAGGTCTTGGTCTTCAAAGCTTTTCTTCTTGTATCCACAGGCAGGCCAAACATGTCAACTTCTACATAGGTACCGACTTTTTTATCAGAAAGAAACTGACCTGAAATTATCTAAAACCAAAACAGAGGAGGATCGCTAGAGACCGCTTTGGTGGATTAGGAAATGAGTGGCTGAAATGCAGATGGCTAATTCTCATTAATGATCAGATAGTAGGCATTTAAAAGAAAACCAAAACAAAACCAAAACCACAATAAACAAAAAACCCCACTGTTTAGTATTGCAGACACAGAAAAACAACTTATGAGGCCTGATTTCCTATGACCCTGTGGTCCTGAATTCCCCCATGAGCGATAATGTGGTTGAGATCATGCTGCTGCCCTTCCCTCAGCAGGAATACTCGTTTGGATCTCACTCCTCAATCTGGCTGCCTATTTCCACAACGCAGTATCTTTGAGAACTCTCGTTTCTATCCAGTCTCAACAACAGGTTCAAAAAATGCTGGGAGAAAAGAGGTATAAGCAGCAGAGAAACTACATATGTTTTTAACTGCAAGGGAGAAAACAAGCTAAAAAGTTGGTATTCTAATAAAGGCTCTTCACAGAGGGTGAGGAGTTTCACTATGAAAACAAGACAGCTATAAAGTAGCTTGTCTTTTCTAATCCTTATTTTTGACAGGAAACACAACTCTCAGTTTGACAAAGTTAAAGAAGGGTCCGCAGTTACTTCAGAAAATGGAAGAGGCACAGGAATATGTAGCAGTGTCACTGTACTTGAACAAATTCAGGCTTGCCTAAAGCAAATCTTAATCCGTTCTCAGCCGCCTCTCCTACGGGCATTGACATTATAACCAGCAGAGTCTTCACCAGGCAGGCAGAAGCAGCTGACTTCTGACAGCTGTCTCATGACTCCTGGATGTTCATTCCTGTTAAAAATGCTGTGCATCTCCTAATAGCTACTGAATGACTTCCACCTCCATTTACTAAAATTACAGAAGAAAGTGCCTCTAAACCCACAGGAGGACCTGAAAGCTTCCATGATTACAGGTCACCACAAAAGGTCATTCCCACACAGTCATCTTTTCCTACCATGCATGTCATCAGATTATTACTTTATTCATACCCCTCCCAGCACTGCTCTGCTACGCTTGTGTCTGCAGCCTGAGAGGAAATACTTGCTTTCTCTAAAAGAAAACAGGAGGATATTTTGCAGGTGGATTCTATAATACGGACGCTGTTATAATGGACAAGTCCATTAAAGGAATAACAGGATTTCAGAAAGTTTATGTTTTTATAACTAGAGATATACCAAGTATAAATTTGTGATGCTGTCATAGCCAATGCAATCTATCCCTCTAAACATTCATACAAGTGGTTTTCAATTTGCAGGTTCCTGGTGGTCCTTGAACTTCATTAGAGGTCCTTAAAAAGGAACGAAGAAAAGCAAGTTGGCAATGAATTGCAGCTGACATTTATGGTTCCACAGTTCTGCTGGAGAACTTACAGAGAACCAGAAAATTTATTTATACTAAACAGTGTACTGTTCTAGCTATTCCAGCGCAACCTACCACTTCATAACAGCGTGTTTTAAATTCAGCTCTTTGTTACTAAAAACACTGCCAAACTACTTTAAAATCCATTCACTTCCCAATTACTTCTATGGAAAAGAATACATACAATAAAAATACATTAATTTATCTTACAATAAGAAATGTGAGGCAGAAGATCCTCTGCAATTTAAAAATGAAATGTCACTCCAGGAAATGAAATGCATTTTATTTTCTTGACTTTGTATGGTCATTTGCTAGGCCACTGCATAACAGAAATGTATCTATGCTCTAACATTGTCATGAGAGCAGTTTTACCAGCTGCATACATACCTTGACAGACAAGGTGTTAGCTACTATTCCATCCACTATACTTTCAGTAAATGGATCAAAGTGTTTGTCTGGTCTTCTCATGAATTCTGGCTTTAATCTGTATCCGCTTTTGCCATTGTACTCATACATTCCCATGTTTATTTGCATAGACAAATCTAAGTGTTAAAAATATTGATAAAAATAACGTTCTGGTTAGATAGCAATTTAAAAAACGCAATAAAATAATACTATTTATTGTAATTTCAAGCCGACTATAATGTAAACAGCTATTTATGGCATACTGTTGCTTGTTATAAGAGGTTTCAGATGTGATTGCAGCCACTCTCTTGGATTCTTTTGACAAGACAGACATCTGTAAGACATATTTCAGAAACTACTCAATAGATAACATTTTCAAATTTTAAAAGAAGCCTCAAAACTTAGGTTTTGAGTCCCTCAGTGTTGCACTGTTGTACCCGACCCAGCAGAGTACTTATGTTTCTAACCCCTTCTAACGTCAGACACTGGGTGCTTGATACTTGGTTGAAACTGGCCCAAAGAAGTTTTTATTACTCTGCAGACTCCCAGCCTGTGTAGGGTTTTGCTTTCCACGGAAAGGAGGTGTATACATGGGCACAACTGGAAAGGAAAAAGGGAATGGTACCATGTGCCCAGAGGCAGAACGTGGCCAGGATATGTCCTGGGATGCAGTAGATGGAAATATTTGTATGTCTCAGAACAGACATAGCCTTGGAAGACAACACATTCTATTTCAAAAGTGACTTGTGCATCTGGGAGCCCAAATGTCTTTGTTTCTCAAACACTCACTTTTAAAGTGGAATTTGCTGTCGAAGTCCCTTATGCCTTGATATACTGAGATTTTGGAAGACACAGGAAAAAAATCCCTGCCAGACCTGAAATGCTGCTCAATGGTAACGACTTACAAGTGATGACAATATGGAGGGCATTACGTATGCGTATTATACTAGCTACAACATGGTAATTATGAATATTCGTAGTTAAAAAAAACCCCAAAACTGTGTTAAAAATGTTAATTAACAGCTCTGTTAATTATCATTCAATCACTAGACATCTTTTGATGCATAAAGTCTTTCCTACCTACGAATCAGAAACTGTATCAGAGAAGCGGTAAGGTACAGCTTACAAAATCTAGAGACCAGCATAACTTACCTACAGTTTGGAAGTTAAGAGCAACCATTTGGCAGCCGGCGTTCCAAAAGACTTGTGGCATGTAGTTCGAAGAATCTACACGTGTTCCCTTTGGGTAAATTCGGCTTAGCTGCATTTTGTTGTATCTAAATGGTGAGTAGTTAAGATATAGTACGTGTGACAAAAATCACTTTGCAGAGAAGTGCAACTGCAATATTTAAATGCAGGTGTTCTTCACAGAATGGCAGTGGGTTCCTTATGGGATTTCTGCAACCATAACGCTTCCAGAGGTCCACAATTTTGTAGGAGATATGATACATACGGGGTAACTAAAGGTGCTGTGTGTTCCTGTACAGAGTACTCAGAATAAGCGAGGAAATAGCACAGGCATATGCATTAAAAAGATAGCATTCATAAAATTCCATTTATCATTATGGTTACTAATTTGGGATTTTCCTAAGATCGCATTTATAGAGGCCAAATAGCTGTAAAGAGCGAGTCTTCCTCTGGTGGGGGAAGAGGTGCTCAGTTAAAAAGTAAGTGCTCTTCTGGCATAAGCATTAGAATTGGCCTCTACATACACACAGAAATGATGAGTGTGCGCTTCTTATAGTTGAGTCCACAAATCTCAGAGATGAGAACATGCTGCAGGTTATCTGTGGAAATAGCTTTCCATTAATCTTCTTTAAGGCACTATTTTATCTTGACCATTCATTCTTAACTGCAGCCATGATGAGATACATTGAGAAACATCAAAAGGTCTAAACAGAATGCTCCTTAGCTTTTCTTTAGAAGTTATAAAAAAACTCTAAAGAAAAAGAAAAAGAATTGTGTGGCAATAAAACAGCTCAGTGCTCTTAGAACTAGAGGTATGATGGCAAAGCAAGCTCTCCCGTATGGCTTTGCAAAAAACCATCAGCCACATTTGGACAATTCGCTCACCGTAACTCATACCACCTCATATAGGATGATAAATTTAACAATGAGAATACGAAGTATCAGGTCTTCAATATGTAGTTTATGCCTATTCCCTCTAGCCCTAGCCCACAGCACGGGGACTCATACCAGCTTTTAAATTAGCTCATCAGAACTCAGGCCAATTAATTCATCTAGGAAGACAGTCAAATCTACACATTTCATTTGGGTTCCCTATTTCCCCAGCTCCTGTCTCCAAATTTCAAAAGCCCTGTAACAGATCTCAGATATAGAAAGGCTAAGAAAGCAGCTTTCTGAAAGTCAAGGATACTCCACAAACTCCACAGGAGACTTTGTAAGTTGCTCAAGCCCTTTGGTTTCCACAAAGGAAGACATTTCAAAACTTTTGTTGCGTTCTGAAAGTTTAAAGGGGAAATAAAAACAGTGACACATTAGAGCATGAAATCATATGCAACACGAGCTGCAAACAACTGGTTTAGTCTCAGTCCCCTTATCCCATCTACTGCTCACCAGCTCATTTCACCTTGATCTCAAAGAATTTACACACACAATTGTTTGCTGACAGCAGTAAGCTCACTCTGCACATACTCAAGAGCCCCATCTGAACTCACCGTAGCGCTGCCCAAATTAAGGGCATTGGTACTGCCCAGGATTGCTACTGTACAGGGCAACAGAAAGTCAGTGCACGGGCAGAGATCTCTCATGTTTCTTGCAAAATACCATGTTGATATATTTGAGAGGTAGAGCCCAAAGCTCGCAGGTGTGACGCACAGGTATTGTAGCGTCAGCTTTTGTGGGGGGACAGCGGGGAACACAGAGGGCCCTGCTGGATCTCTAGATTGTCGTTGCAGACAGATGCAAGGGCTTTGAGCCAATCTGAAGCTGCAATAACTAATGTCCGTATCAGATTAAACTAAACAGTGCACTAGCTGTGCCTACAGCGGTTCTCATTATCTTCAGTCTGTCAGGGTAAGGTCACATCTGTCTCAAGCAGTCATGGAAACATTGCTATCTAATCAAGCCTGAAGGTACACTCCTGTGTCCCAGCAGGTCTTCAGACCTAACCCCGAACTAATATGGAGCTTCTATGACCTCTTTAATTTGGTCAAACTTTCTGACCTGACAGTGGTGGAAAGCTCCTCCTAAGCTTCTAACTCAGTAGGACTAAACATTAATTCGTGTACCATTCGTTACTCACCTTTGCCTGATGTGTGCACAGCCTTTCTGTGTACCCATGTGACATGCTACAGCAGAGAGCCTAAATCAAGACCCTTCTAGCTTCTGTATTTTTTCCTTTACACTTTTGAACAGAAAGTAAGGATCCCTGTAAAATAACAGCTTCCCATTTCACCACAATCAGCTGTGTAGGTTGCCTAGAAGGGGCCACAGCGCTGGGAGGTCATATCCACTAGATATCTCAGCACTGCTCTGTTTAAAAATGAGGGAAGCAGTGCCTGTGTTGAAACATGAAATCTCCAGCCTCACCACTTTATTGAAAGCAAACAATAAGGCAGAGAAGAGGCTTGCCCTCATCCGGTTTTAGAAGTAATTGTGCTGCAGTAATCCAGGGATGGCCAGGAGGCCAGCCCGGCCAGCTCCTTGAAGTCAAACTGCGAAGCTGCAGGAGAGGGATAAAACTGAACCAAAGCACTTGTCTTGCAGAGAGAAGCAGGACAGAAACAGGTGGGCGCTTTCCTTGTAGGAAGCCAAAAAGGAAGCAGTGGATCCAAAGAAATGAGGAGCTAGATTGTTGAGGCCAACAAGAGAGGAAAATGTGCTGCCAGCCTGTGAACTACAAACTATTCTCAGTGTACGCTGAAGAGTCAGAGGGTGACCGTGGTGTTCCAAAAGTGATTCTCTCCCTCTAGGACAGCTGGGACTCAGACTTTATTGTGGTCCCTCTTTCTAATTAGCAACTATCATGCTACTGCCATTATTCATAGCTGTTATCTCCTAACGGCAAAAGATTCCTGCCATTCCCTAGAGGCTGCCCTCCTACCACTCCTCTTCCTTTCCAACAAGCAATATCCTCTCTTTCTCCAGACTCTGTTGCAGCCAGCTCACCTCCATCTCAGCTCCTTATAAAGGCACTGAGATGATTCTTACTCCATCCTTCCCCCTTACTAATGGGATAGCACTAGCAACACTCATATATAGTGGTTTTATTCTATTTAGAATATAGGTGCTAGAATTTGTTGTAGTATAGAGATACAGTATATACTGTATCTCTCAGCCTTATCTTAAAGTAGAGCATCTGTAGGAAACCAGAACTGGTGGCTGTTAAATGATTCGGTTACTAAATGTCCAGGGCTTAATCAAACTCCTAATTAAAATAAGAACAATTATTTCCTTGTACTACCTGGAGAGGATTAAGAAACCTGCCCTTTGAAGAAAAGACTGTGCGGGAGAGACATTTCTCTCTTGTGATACACCGTGCTATCTTATCAGGAGGAAGTCACTACAGAGTAGACAAACAACTCATTGAAAAACTGTCTGAAAAACTTGAAAAAATACAGTTACAGCTACTTGCTGTCAGAGAGAGGGAACGTATCTAGTGAGTGCAATCAGGGGACTGTTACAGGTCCAGTGCTATTCAATATTTCTGTTAAGAAGTTGGATGCAAGACCAGAAAATGCACTTTAAAAATGTGTGAATGACAGAAGCAGTGAGGTACTGTTATCACCGTGGAGGCCAGGATCACAAATCAAAACAAACTCTGACTTAGAAAATACTAAATTAGAAAAATGCTGTAACACTGAAATGGTGAAACTGTATAAAAGACAAATATGGAGCTCTACACTTAGGGAAATGAAGTCAGGTGAGCAAAAATAAAATCTGGGCAACAATTGGATAGGCAGCAAATTAAAAAACAATCCTCATCTAACTCCTCCTTTATTCAGCTCATCTTCACTGAATTTAATGAAGGTCCAGCAGTGAGTCCAGGCCAGGACTAAGACCAGAACCCACAAGCCATGCTATAGTGCCCACTGCTTTAACCAGCCAGCAACATTTACCACGTAAGGCCACCGCTTTAACGAACTGGCCACATTTACCACATAATGATTTTTTCGACACAAACACCAGAAATATTAATTCCTTAACATTACGAGTTCACAGAAAAGGTATGATTGCTCAAAGGTCACATAAAGACTTAGGATAAAAAAATCTGGACCTCAGCAGTTCTTTACAAAAGACAAAACTCAGAAAGGCACAGGCATGTGAACAGAAGAAATCTACACAAGACAATTTTATAACAGCTGCATCGACTTGACCTGCTAGGATTCACATGGCTTCCTTTCCAGAAGGAATAACTCCTTCCCACTGCGCTCTTGTAACTCTCATTAGAGCTAGAGGAGATTATAAACATCCAAAGGGACACTACTATAGGGAACAAGCACAGCTCTCTGCAGGATTTTGTCAATGCTTGTGTGTATGTCTGTGTAAATACCCACATACAAATGAACAGGTAGATAACTTCTTATATGTTTATTATTCATTGTGAGTAAATGCAAAATCTTGTATACAGAGATGGACTTAGGCACCAATTACCTGTCCTCTGCCAAGGCCTCCACAAATCCATAATAAATTAAAATGCTGTACACTTCTTTAACTAAAAAGCTCCAAGAGCATATTGAAACCTGTCAAAACAAAGTGAAAAAGTGCAGGCAAACAGCAGGGGGTTCTGCACCAAGAAAGGAAACGATGCTGCAGTGTTTACTGAGGATGCCAGTGAGTGCATTCCTAGCAAGGCATCTTCTGTAAAAGCCAGCGGGGGATGAAATTATGGCCTTTTCTATACAATACACAGAGGCAGGAAAGAGTGAATTTGCATAAGGGGAAAGGCAGACTCTGCTTACCCTGAATCCTCTATAAAAGCAGCAGAGGCAAAATATAAAGCACTTGCTCAATCCGTAGGAATATTTATGACCACTTTTCTCAAACTGCTTAAGTTACTTTTCAATCATGGACAACAAAGACAATGTAAGTACAACATTTTCAAAAATGTTTTTGAAATGGCAGCATGGTTACTGTTGATGAAGTTTGATATTTAGACTAATGCAGTTTTCAAAATAAATATGGATTTATTTGGCCGGATACCAAGGGAACATTTTCTGCCCGTGTGCCTGTATCTAACTGAGAGGAAGCCAAGTAGCATTTCTCCAGAACTTTCTTCCAAACACTTGCTAGATAATTTCCAGTACAAGATGTTGCTCATGCTTAGCTTACTTACTTTTTGATACTTCAAATGACTCAAACTTCACAGGCTGAATGTAGTTCACCAGGTTAGACATCTCTTCCGTGGCCATAGCCTCACTTCCAGCAGTACCCTAGGACAGAGAAGGGAAAATGCTGCAGTTTTGATCTGTCCGTGGTGGCCATCAGAGGCCACAAATACCAAAGCCCAGTTTTCTATCAACTGTGATATCTTTTACTGATCCTGGCCTAGTGTAGTCAATGCCTCACATAGGGAGCTTCACATAGTAAAGAAGAAAATTTGCTATAAAATTTAAATGTTTAATTAAACTGCTGCTGTATTCATTCTTTTTACGTGGTTCCTTGGGAAGGGACTGCATTACCTTTACACATGCATAGTGCTGAGCACATTTATCAGTGCTGTTGAATAAATAATAAATACAGCTCTAAGTTTTTGATGTCAAGTTTTTCTTCCAACAACGCTAAATACACCACGAGCAGTTGTCTAAAACAGATCAGCTGTGGTGCTATTAATTCTTATTCTTCAGTAAATGAAAATATAAATAAACAAAGCACAGATGTGCTTCCAAACCGATTAACAACCACCTTCAGAAAGTTGGTGGTGTGTTTCCCAGTGCTCTGCCTCTCTTTCTCCACTAGATGGTAGTCCCACTCCTGGTAACACAAGCCAACCCACAGCTGCTGGAATCGACCCATCACCATAAAACATATCTACACCCTTACTTCATCCATCGACGACTTTTTACAGTCATCATCATAGTCATCATCATCATCGCTCTCAATCTCTGCTTCTCCTGAAAAGTTTTAAGCAGAAGATAATTACTGGCTGAAGCAATAGTTGTAATTACCAGCGATAAATTCGAGAAAGATGTGCAAGTAGCACTGCTTAAGGGAGACTACATTACACATGTGCTTTTTGTCACAGCACAAATCAAATACACTGTCTCGAGGGATTCATCCATCTTCAGCATTCGTGAGTTCTTATTGGCCAACCAAACAAAAACTCCTCCTTTGCAGCTGCTGGATGCTCAGTGTTTGGAAATCACGGGGTAGGTATCAGCACTGAGAAAACAGCGTTGTGGTGTGCGTAGTGTGCGCAGTGTGTGGGTATAGTATCACAAACTACTCTGAGGAGATGTTCCCATGCTTGGGTCACAGCCCCGGGGTTGGGGAGGTGTGAGTTCAAACTCCCTCTCTGTTGCAGGATCCCTGCAGGACCTTCAGTGAATGCCTCACCCCCTCTGGGAAGTGCACACTTAACAGCATGCACGGGGTGAAGACATCACGCATGAAAATGGATGAGATTCTCATGTGCTGTGGTATCAAGGGCTGTTCAGCAAAATCCATCTGTTCTGAACGTATCGCAGTACATGTCCTGAGGTAGCGCAACTGGGAGCATCTGGCACAGGAGCCTAACTGCAATAGCTTGACTTCCATTCCCTTCACAGACTGCTTTGGTGTGCCTTACTGTTAGGACTCCAGTGGCATAGCTCAAATGCACCGGCTGAGGGCAGCGCAAATCAAATAATGGGAAGAAGATGCATAAGGCTCATCCTTTCCCTGAAAATGTACTGATGGAGTAAATGGGACCAAATAAAACTCATTTTATGCCTTGCTCCCAATTGCAGTGTACTAATCAAATTCCCATGGGCAAGACACAGATTCTTTATTGTTAATTAAGGAATGCCTCCCCTTGCCTCCAAAATGTTTTGATTTGGTTGCACCAGAAATTAAACCATTAAGGAATATCAAGCTTATCTTTCTCTTTAGTGACTCCTCCTGTGGGTCTGGCTGTCATGAAGTATACACTGTGCACCTTAAGAAGACTCTAGAAAAGAAGGTTTAACTTATACTGCAGTCACCTATCCACACCTATAAGATCGACAACGCTCCCTGAAGATTTTATTCCACAAATCTTACAGCTTTCTTCAGCAGTGGCAATTTTATTTTGGCAGCACAAAAATCTAACCACTGTGCAGCATTCCCAAACTCTCCAGAGAATGGTAATTCAGTCTGAGATCCTCCTGTCAATGTAGGGTCTAATCCAAAGCCCACTGAGTCAATAAAGAAACTCCTCTTTGTTCCAGCAGGCCTTGAATCATGCCCAGTGGGCCCCTTCTCAACATGGAGAGCACATATGATTTAAATAATGAGCGTGCCTTTCACAACCAAATGATGACTACCCAGGCTGTGTTTCCTTCCAGATCCGGATGTTGAAATGTCAAGCTTTTATTCATAAATACATTTCTTCCTGAACATTTCATTGAAGAAAATAACATGATTGCTCAACAGGCTCAAGGGATGGCTCAGGGAACCTCAACGCATTGCGAAGAGCTAGCCGAGCTCCCACAGGATTTGCAGTGACAGTCTTTGGATGGGAAGCTCTCAACTGATTTAACCAGACTGGCAAAATAACGCTTCGCATAGTCCACAGAATGGGGAACGCGGGCAGATTTCAGCCAACTTGCACTGCTGAGATACCAGGTAGATGATAGCTTGTTCTTGCTGGAAGTGTCCGGGGAGGAAAGTACACAACACGTTATTCATTTATTTAAAAATATTTAACAGGAAAACTCCCAAGGAGATCAGATCTCATTTTCAAGTTCTGCATCAGACAGCAAAACCAGGACAAATAATACACAGGACTGCAAACACAGAATAAAAATTAGTAAATGTTTAGAAAGTATGACTACATCTGCATTGCCTTTCACCTAGAAGCATGGTCCTACGCTCAAACCCAACCTTCTTTTCCCGTTGTATTGCTGGGACACAAAGTCAGAGCAAGCCTTGGCCAGACTGAGGAGATGTCTGTGCTGTGGATGCCTTCATGCTCACCCTCCCACAGGGGTGGTGGGATCAACCCTGTGCCATCACTCCTATCCCTTCCCAGGAGGGCACAGACACTGTGTATCATAAATGCACGTGGGCTGGCATACGCAGCTGTGCTGCAGGTCAAGTCCAGTATGTACGTGTGAGCTTGTCTATGGGACAACTAGCTGTAATGGCATAATTATTATTTGCATTTAGATGGGACTGCAAAGCCAGGTCAGGACAGGACCTCTCCATGCTCTCTGGCATACAAATACAGTGAAAACAGAGAGCCCTGCTCCAAGGGCTTGCCCTCCAAGTACGAGACAAGAGCCTGCCCACGGACAGAGGCAGACAGAAGAATATCAAGAAATAAAAAGATGTTGCTCCCTACCACAATAGGTAAGTTATAACGCAGATACTGTCAATCACTCATAGGCGGAAGGGCACAGGAAACTTCTCAGTGGAGTAATGGGGCAGTTTCAAGGATGCTTTCAAGGAGCTGCCCCTAGGGAGTGGGGCAGCGTGGGGAAGGCATAAAAGTGCTCATTGGGCAACGTAACAAGTTGGCAAAGGAGACTGAATCCCAGCTGATGGGTAGAGGGGATCAACACAGTAATACTGAAGGGAAGATGATTAGGAGAGGAGAGCTGGGAATGACAAGCCAAATCCCTATTACCAAGGGTTGAGGAAGCAGAGTGCTAAATATTCTCACCATGCCTCAGCAGCGTGACAGATATTGAGAGCCTAATAAAATGAAAGGTTATACATTGCTTGAAATTCAGAGGAATGTGGTAATCTACTTTCTCAGACCCCTTTGAAATAACAGCCAGAATGTATTATAAATGCAGTACTTGCTGGTGCAGCTTGTTAGCTCTATAACATTTAGGCAGCCACCAGCATCCTGGGGGGGGAAAAATCACTTTTTGTTTTTTCCACAGGCCGTACATCAGCACTTGCTGATTTTTAAAAAGGAGAAAATGACCTTTATGCAGTTTGCTAAAACATTTTACTTTGTAACAGTGGGCCATGGCCTCAGCTGGCATGCAGCAGCGATGTACCAATGCAAATTTATATACACTGAGCCTAAAACTTTTTACCCAGTTTTTGATTTAGTCATCCTGAAGTGATGAGGCCAATTCTACCCTCTCTCTCTGTCTTCCTGTGAGCCTTTCCTTGCAGCACCCACTACTCTGACAAAAATGTCATCCTATCAGTGAGAAATTAACAATTTGCTCAAAAATTTAAATACTGTTCAATTAGCAAGTTTGGGCTACTTTCAGTATAGGCCTACTTTCGGTAAAATGTATGTACCCGCAGAACTGCCACTGTTCTTTACGCAGTGTAATCTAACTTCTTTGAAAATCTTATTTACTTCTGTTCATTGTGCTAAAACAGCCAGGTCTAAGACGCTTGTTTACCAAAATGACAATCTATCTCACAAGTGTTATCTCAGAAATTCTTTTTCTGCTTTGCCAGCTTTGCTGTACCTTTAGGGAAAGCTTTTTCCACTGACAGATATTATACTGTATTGAAGTTACTTTTTACATCAGTTTCATGAACATCTTGCAAACCATTCTGCAAAGCTCGTTTCAGAATTGTTCCTTTAATTACTGCTACTATATCACCAGCACCTACCTTTTATATGGTATGTTTTATAAACATATCAAAAGAGTGGTTTATTTGGGTTTCAATCTGACCTCAAGCAGTGTAAGACACAGTGAAGCTTGCTATCAACTGAAGTAGGGATCTCCGTATTGTTTGCATTGCTGTGAAAAAACTCATTTAAAATCTCAAGAAGGCTACATTGGCACAACTTTCTCCTGGAGATCAGCAGTAATTTTGACAGGAGCTATATAATACAATAGAGTTATTTGAATAATATGCCCGACTTGCTAAATGTAAAGATTACGTTCAGGTTGGAGTATTGAAACGCTTCATGTTACAAACCGTTAAGAATTAGGCTTCCTTTAGTGAGTCTTTAATTGCATTACTCCTCTCATGCTCCAGAAAGAAATTGGTACTGGGTATAGAGGAGCGTAACGCTTGCAGTGCTCCAGCATTACATGTTGCCGATATTGAGATGCACATAAGGAATGAGGCAGTGAAAAGAAGGGTGTCTTGGTGACTGTTCCTTGTCAGTCACCCCTAAACTGTTCTTAAGCTCTCTCAGACTCGTCTGTCCTTAGATAAAATTGGCTTAACATTATTTCACTTCCCACAGGTATTGTTCAGATAAATTCACTGCTGTTTGTCAAGTGCTCATATGCAGCCTGGATACCCCCACAGAAATTCACTGCAAGATGAGGATGCTACATCTAGGATCAAGTATTGAATGACAGAGAGAGGAAAAATATTGACTAACTGCATTCTCCAAAAGAGGCATAGGTCCTAAAGGAGAAACAATGGCTGACAGAAGGATTACAAGTAATTTATTTTGGCAGTCACAGATGAACCAAGTGACCACATCAATTTTGCAATCTCACTTTGAGCATTTTCTAATTTGTAAGTGTTCATCTTCACAATCTACAGTTAACAGAGGTTGTTATATAGGTAATACAGACATAATATTCACAGTTCATTTGTGCAATTACACACCCTGTTACGGGACTGGCCCCCTGCCTTGCATCGTCATCAACATCTAGATTCACAGCCCAGGTCTTTTCCTATAAAAGCTCACAGGGAGGCTCCTGAAAGACAAAGCTGTTACGCTCTATTGCAGCTCAGGCACTCAGAAAGCAAAAGACATACACTTTGCCACTGGGTTCTCACTATCTGCTGGTAACAAAAATGCAGAGTTAGGAACCCAGGGTTGATTTCAACTGTTGGAAAGGAGTCAGCTGGCATACACACCCTTATTTTTCTGTTGCTTGGGATTTGTCTAAAGCAAATCAAGAAAACAGTATTAAATCATTCCTGACACCGGGATGAATCTTCCTTTGAAATCCAAGCCCTACACCAAATCATGCCCTTCTCAAAGTTTCTTAACACAATAGTTGAAAACTCTTTCTTTGCTTCTAATAGGATAAACAATGTTATCCACAAATACAGCAGGGTTTTTTTTTTTTTTAATTGAGCTTGAGGCAAACAGCCAGCATGAAAATTTTCAGCTCAATTAATCAGAGTTTAGAAAAAATTACAAACAATGGAAAAAAGTTTTTTAATGGCAATGGTAATGAACTTATATTCCAGCAGAGCTTTCAGTTTGCTCTGTAAGTATTCTACTACTGGGGCATAAATGTCTATGCTTTTAGCAATCCAAAATTTCAGTCTTAATAGGAAGAAGAAATTCTAGTGCAGGGAACAGACACTGGGCTGGGAATCAGGATATACAGATTTTGTTGTTTGTCCTGCTGCTAATCTGCTCCTGTGGTTTAGAGCAAATCCTTACTTTATCTTTTTCTCTGCACTGCTCTTTGTCTTTTCCAGTTAGGTTTTAAGCTCTTCAGGACAAAGACGATCTCTTACTAATTTTTGCATACCAACACTCACAATGGTCCCCTGCAGATCCCATAGGCATTAGCAGAATATATGCATTAAATTATAGTAACTTTTCTATTTCATTTCTGATTTTAAAAATTCTGCTAATAACGAACAAGTTAAATGTAAAACACTGCTTTCCATTGGCTACATTCCCTACAATTCCTGACGGTAACAAGCATTTTTTTGCAGTATTATTTTTGCCTGTTTCCATCTCTGGAACAGAAGAACATCTTATAGCACTTTGCGTAGAGGCCTGTGACGTGTTCCCAACTAATGCAAGACAACAGCGGGTTGAGCCTTGCCTGCCCGAGGAACAGATATCTCATTCACAGTCACCCTAAACCTTAAGACACTGCAGAACCGCTGCAGTTCTCCTGTGCAATGGGTTAAATCAGAAAGGGCACGAAATGGTAGGCACATCTCAGAGGCAACAGAAAAAAGAAAATGTTTCTATTTGGTATCAGACTTGGGCACATAGAAAAGGCACCCGAGGGTGGAGGAGTTGGCAGCTCGCTCTACTTCCTAAGCAGTGCAGATAAATGTTAGTACACATCACCGAGCTTTAGGTCACTCCATAAGTGATTCCTCAGCCGCGAGCCTCCACAGACTCCTGGATCAATGACACTTAGCATTGCTTCCTACTGAGTAAGGCCCACGCTGGTGTACCTTTACCTTGCTAGAGCAATGTAAATGCATTGAATTATAGCTGTAATTAAGCATTTGTGTTTTAGGGAGAAATATATTTGTAGATTCAATTCATACCTGCTCCGGGGGAGGAGGGTTCAAACATACTAGAAGTATCACTGCACGTGTTGGAAGCTTGCTCAGAGAGCTTCTTTTTTGCACTTCCATCTGCAGACTTATGGGACTTCTTTTTATTCTTCACCAGAATTTTGTACATTAAATCCATAGGGCTTGGAAGAGGAACCCCAGGTTCAAGCTTGCAGAAAAAGGAAGAGAAATTTGTCACAACAACAAAAGAAATGAGCTTATGGCAATTTCTTAGGGCCCACATGCTGCAAGATAATTTTGTAACCTCTGTAAGCCCTGTTAAAATGAAATGTATTTTGCACAAGAGGTAACCTCAACATTAAATGAAACAGGGCTACTGAAGGCACTTAAGAAGAAAAGAAAAATGCTTTATGAAATGTCTACGGTAATAACCGAAGTAAGTATTATTTCAAATATGAAAGCCTACATTATAAAATGGCAGCTATGAGAATCAATTGCATTTAGAAGATTACAATTCACTGTATCAGAACAATCTCTGCATCAGAAATTATATGCTTAAGTCACCAACAGCTCACGTTTAACCCCCTCCTTTAGACTCTGTTTTGAAAGGCCATGTATGAAGAATGACACAGGACTGAAACACTTAAATAAAAATTCACACAGATATTTGCGATCTGATAAATGCCAAACCATATTACCGGGTATTTTTCCAATGGATCCATAAGCAATGCATCTCCAAATATTAATCTGCAGTACTCTGCCATTTTTGCCTGTTGTTTAGGACTAAAGGGGACAAAAGAAAGAAATAAGTGAGTCCTACTAATGCTACAGAGTGAAAGCAGCAATAGTGGAATATCTAATATCCCTAAACTAGATACAATTTCCTGATCCAATTGCTGTGAATTTTTCAGAGAACCAGATAGATCATGCAATTATTCTGATTCCTCCGACAGAACTTATCAAAAGGATCATACATGAAGTAAAGTCACTAGTCAATTAAATAATAGTGAAACTGAACTTTTAACATTGAGGTATATTTTCCCATGCACTTAGCAGAAAATAAAAAAATGAGGCTGTCAGTTGTTACCTTTAGGGAAATAACCGTTACATGAATTTGCCTCTTTCAGGCAACATTTTTATTCAAAGTTTAAATATTTTCCTCCTTATGTTACTTTATACACATGCCTGGCTTTCTTCTCACACCCTGCCCCCCCGACCCCATTTGCATTTCGTTCTCTTTTTGTCATACCTGACCTAAGGCATAAAACCCAAAACAGTTACGCAGAAAGCAGTCTCCTGTGCAGGTGTCTCGGTTAAATTTCCCAAGCCAAGGGTACCTATCACCTTACTCAGCATGCCTATGATGCACAGCCATACAGAAGAAGGGGCGGAAGACATTACTTGGGTCTCAAAACCAGCAAAACTGCATCAGTTATAGACACTGGTAGAGAAGCAGCTAGTTTTACTACAGATTTCTAAAACGCACTTAGTTTTACTGCAGATTTTCTGCAAAATGCAGCCCACTTTCCCCACCCTATTTGTTAGCCTGTGTGAGGTGGGTGCTGTGCCTGTGCGGCGTGACAGCCCGTCCAGCCGCAGCCCTGCCCGCAGCTGCAGCGGCACCTCCGCACTGCGCTCCACGACAAAGCACTGACCCATCTGCAGACCTCCTGGGCTGGGTTTGCACCAAAAGCTTGCAGTGCTCTCGCCAGCTCACTCAGAAGTATTTCCTCTGACATATCCTCACCGGCAGAAGTCATAGCGTAGATGTAACTGTGCTACTGCTAAGCCGTATTATGTCGATTTGGAGAATTGCTGTATCAAGTGCCGGTATAACTGCATTTTATATGCATGTAACTACACACTGCATGCATGTTATGCGTGTATAACTGGGACCAACATATCAGGACAGCCTTTTTAGTGGGGATCTGGATGTAGTAACAAGCTGCTAGGTGGAGCTGCTCAATGATCATTTTAGCTTGTTTGGGTACGTGGTCAGATTCCTTTTGTAAAAATCTTTGAATTTTATTTAAAATCAGATCGAGTGTCAAATTTTACCATAGTAAATTACTTCAGTGGTTTTCATGACATCCTCTAGAAGTAAACTGAACCTCAGTAAACTCTACTTATAATCAATTTTCCCAAAGTGCAACCAAAGAATGAAATAATTCCTGCACACCAGTGATGGGAGTTTTAGGACTGAAGATAGGTTATGCTACTCAGAAATATTACTCAAATCATCTTAAAATGCAGCTCAGTGCTACAGTCACTCTCTTTCTAATTTTAGGCGACTGTGTATTTTTGTTATACGTGCCTGTTTAAAATCTGTAACATCCGAGCTTAGGTGTCTTTAAAAGTTTCTTTTTTTGATACTCTGTTGAGAAGTCTCGATTAAAGGACAGGTTTCTATTGCTTAATATAACTTCCTCAACTACTGTTAATTATGATCTGCCTATCACGGAAGATACGCGAATGGTATAAGCAGTTATGTTACCATGGAGCTATTTTTCATGACAAAATAGAGCTGGGTACATAGGAAAAAAGGAGCGCTCATTTTTCTCTTGCAAACTGAAGAGTATGACAATCGCTGTGTCTAGTTCGTCAGTAGCTACCAACTGAGCACCTGGCAGCGGAGCTCCTCCTGGGGTCAGCAAGGCCACAGCAGAGCTGAGATAAAGGCTGGGTGGCATTTGAATCAGAAAACGTAATTTCCCTGAGATCAGCATTCTGGATGTCCCTTGACGCAGATACAGGGTGAAGCGGTCATCAGCTCAGTCATTGACAAAACATATTGCGAGGAGGCTTTAAATTATTCCGCAAAGCTACGCAAGCGTTGCATGCAGCTTAAATCACTACAGCATTTTATTAATGCTTTCTTTCGCGTGCAGCCAATTCTGCAAAAACGCTAAAAGCCACTTTTAGCCGAGGATGGAAAATTAAGATGAAGACAAGCAAGGCAGTGGAACTAAGAACCCACAAGGGAGAAGGTGATGGGAAGAATAGATCAGGCTATGACAGTGCGTTAGCTATTTCTAACCGCCAGCTACCAAGGAAAATAAAGTCACCTCACTCTAGCAAGCAAACAGGCTGGGTATTTGCTATAGGTCTAGGGGTTATTATAGCGAATTTTGTTTCAGTCTTCTCCACCAGTGTATATTTTGAATAGACCCATGCTCTTAGGACCCAGAAAGTTCAAAGGACATCTCCTTGAATCAGAAGAGCACAATTATTGAAATCGTAATAATTCGATGTGACATCAGCATTTTTAAAGGGGCACACCAACTCCAAAGAGAACTCTCGATAGGAATCAAAAAAAAAAAAAAAGCAAGAGTTAAATCTAATAAATTTCAAACTATCACCACAGCTAGAACAAATTCTTCTGATCTTCTGTGTTTAATTACATGTTTACATCAAAGAGAGCACGGTAAGAACTTTCATTTTTGCAAAAGAGAAAAATGTAATGCAACATTATTTAGGTTTAGTGCATAAATTCCAATGTCACTGCATCCCAGAGGCAGAAAGAAGGAAAAGGAAAATTACGGGGAAAAACTAACAGGTTTTAATACTATGAGAAAATCTTGCAGTAGTAGACAAGGCCAAAGTAGGAAAATCTTGACATTACAAAATGACTTGTCTCTGTGAACTGGACGATATGCACAGATATTTTTAAAAGCTCCTAAGAAGGAACTCTCTCAAATATATATAGATATATATAGATAGACAGATAGATAGATAGTTTCAAGAGATAGACCATTAGTAATAGTATAGATTATGCATTACTATAATAGTATTTTAAAAGTTGGAATATCAGTTTCTTTTTATTTTCCCTTCTTTCAAAATTATGAACCAGAGCCACAGATTGAAATACCAACTTTTCTACATCAACGTATTTCCCTGTTCGTGTTACGGAACAAAAAAGCAGGTATTTCCTTTTCCACATTTCCTGTTATTGGAAATTCTCTCAGCATTCATGTATTGTAATGAAAATTGATTGCTTCAAAAGAGCTGACTTTATCTGCTTTATGATTTTCACTGTGCAGACGTGGACGGGGAGCACATAGACTAATTATATATGCCCCCAAAATGTGCCAGGGCAAGGGAAGATAAAGCGGGAACATGATACCTGGAGATACGGAAATATAAAGAATATTAAGTAATGTTTTCATTACCATTACTGTATTGCTTGTACTTTGTTTTACTGTGTTTGTATTATGCCTGTTATGAAGGTCAATCACAGAGGCTCTTTGGCACTACTGCATGACTACTGCTCCTAACGTTATATTATTATCACTTCTGCAGAGATACTTCTTCTGCATAAGACAAAGACACAGATGCTTCCCAGAAGAGTCTAAAATAATTTAAAGTGTAGGAAGAAAGAGTGATAAAAATCCTGTTAATATTTGAAATAACAATTCCAGCAAGAAACCAGCAATATGAATAACTGTAATTAAATTTAATCTTGGAAGCAATCTTATATGGATACTGCTCAAGGATCACTTAACCTTTTTGGTATTTCATCAGTGCATTTCTAATTATAGAGTGTCTGCTTTCAGATTTGCAGATTGCTTATCTTCTTGCAAGCCCAATTTCAAACGTCAAGGTCTTCTTGAGGTCTTTTCAACATTTTCAGGGCACTTTTCTATTTTTTGATAGAACCACATCTTTTCTTAGTACTGCCTTTTTTCAGTGTGCATGGTTTCTCGTCAATATAAATGATGGCATACATAATATTTTATAGTCTAAAACTTATATGCTTGCCTCTTTCTCTAAACAACTTATTGTACAAAAACAGGCAACAATGAATATACTACATAGTGGAGTTATAGTAAAGGAACTGAAAATTCTTCACATGCTATAAAGATATTAGAGAGGAGTCCTTCTAGGAAAAACACTGAAAGAAAGCAAAATGAGATGTTTAACGCTATGTGCTAATAAGTGATTTGTTCCCTAGGTGGACAAAAAGTGTTAAAAATATTCTCAGGAACATCAACCAGAAGGAAGAAAAATTGCATTTTAAGTCCAGTGGTGATTAACGCTGCCATTCTTCACATGCTATAAAGATATTAGAGAGGAGTCCTTCTAGGAAAAACACTGAAAGAAAGCAAAATGAGATGTTTAACGCTATGTGCTAATAAGTGATTTGTTCCCTAGGTGGACAAAAAGTGTTAAAAATATTCTCAGGAACATCAACCAGAAGGAAGAAAAATTGCATTTTAAGTCCAGTGGTGATTAACGCTGCCATATCTATGGTGGTGTTGTAAAACTTATTTACCTCCGATAATCGCAGTCTGTTTAAAAGCCGTGAATACAGAACACAGGGTAAAACCATATTTCTGTTTAAGCCAATGCCAAAATTTCTACTGATTTGTACGGGACCAGCACTTCACACATGAATACTGACTCTTGTAACTTGAAAACCAGAAGAAAAATTTGGTCACCCAAAAGTAGGAATTGATGTCAGGATTTGTTTGACAGCAATTCTATAAAAACACTTAGCATTTTTTGTTAATACTTAGGAAAAGTCCATCTTTAAGATCTAGGTGAAAAACAACATTCCAAGTAAATGAAAAGAGAAAAGGAGCATTCCATGACATTAGGTGAAGGCTTCTATGAGTGGCATGACTAATTGCAGATTTCTTTAGCAACCAGTGAAGAAATGAAGGGATAATTGTAGCAGTTGGTAAAATAACTAGAAATTATTTTCAGCCAAAGCAAAATTAGAAATCATACACATTAAGTCTGATGATTTACTGCAGCAGAAAATAATAAATAGCAATAAAGCCTCAGAAAGAGAAAATACTTGATACTGCTTTTGCAGACTTGCTTTGCTAAAAACCTGTGTTACAGCAATGCATGGAAAAGGACATGAAGTAATACACTTAGCAATAATTCATTATTCCATGACTGGAGTTTTCTGGAGAGAAAGGTCCAGTGGTTTCTGTGGGGCTAATTGTAAAGATCAGAGTAATGCAGCAATAGCTCTGTTCCCTTTTTGACGTATTCCTGCAGTACCACACCACCTTTAATTTTGACAGTGTTCCATCTTGTAGTTTTAAAGCCACTTTTGTACATAACTTATATCTGACAGGAGTTTATTTTATTTTTTTTTTTACTTCTTTACTTTCCTAGAATAGAACAGATCACCCTGGAATAGCTGAAGATTTAAGTCTTAATGACTTTAAAGGAAGAAAAATGTAACCCTTCTGGTTAAAATAAATTGGATGTTGCTTTTTCTCTGCCTTATAGTAAACACAGTGAATGTATATTTTAACAAATACAGAAGAATGAATACAAAATATAATACATTGAAGAATAATGGTTGAGATCTTTTCGAAAGACCAGAGGTTGCATTTGGAAGCACTGAGAAAAGCATTTTGAGTTAAAACCTACAGCAGTAGGTGAGCATAAGCAAGTCCAAAGTGATATAACTTACACCAAAAAGAAAGGAGCGAGGGGACCGATTAGAGAAAGAAATTAAATACAGTATCTGTGTGGTCTTTCAGAGGAAGACAGAACTAACTAAGCAGGATTTAACAGGTAGCTGTTTGAATCATGACGATGTGGCCTTTAAATGTGCGTAGAGCAAGCACGTATTTGCCCACAAAAGGTAGCGTAAACTTATACTGTAAGGTATACAGGTAGTGTGGGTCAGCTCTCAGATTTTAAATTTTTCTCCCTACATCATTTTTGATCAGTATTGTCACATCTGTTCTTAAAAATATTCTCACATAGCTTCTTCTACCAGTTCCTTCCCTTATGACGAGAATGTTCTTCCTAAAACAATGGAAAAGCAGTTAGCCCTCACCCTTTTCCTCTTCAAGAAGCAAAAGTGCCAACATCTTTTCTGGTTTGTATTAAAACATTCATAGTCGCCCAAAGATTATTTTTTATTTCACATTTAAAAAAAAAAAAAAAAGGTTTCTCAGTCCAAACTGGCCCCAGAAGTGTTGAAAATGTTTTCACAGCAGAAAACAAAAGGGGAAAAGGCAATTCAAGTTACAGCACATGTTATGTGTCAATGTCACCCCACTTTGAACCATGTTGTCTCTATATTCAAAACCAAAGTTAATGTCAAACTTAAAAAAGAAAAAAGAGAACTAAAACAATAACAAAAATAAAAAAGATCACTGGGACAAATTTAGAAGTGTTCTCACTTATTTTTTCTTTTCTTACACAGAAAAATTGTCCTTTGTAACTACCAAAAAAAAAAAAAGAAAAAGCGAAAGAAAACAGCTTAGGCAAACTGGTAATTTTTGGCAGAAAAAAATGGAGCAGTTGCTGGCCATCCATACTACCCATTTTGCAATCCTAGCTAGTCTATGGTTCTGGCCTCCACTTCTAACACATGAGAAACAGACCAAGTTCTGTGCACAGAATATACTTATAGTGCAGAATAGGGTCATAAGCAGGTGAAACATTGCTTCTTTTTCTTTGATGAAATACCGCTACGTTCCAGCAGGACATACCGAGACTGTAAAGTTAACACAATTTGTCTCACAATTATTCAAACTTTCTTTTTCTTCCAAAAGTTCTAATTCAGGAAGGTTTTTAAGAACATGCCTGATTCATTCTGATCGTCTTGGTTACTTAGGCTGATACAAGTTCTTTTGGGTAAGAGCTGTTGATCATGTCATATAATAGAACTGTCACAAGTGCATACATAATTCTGTGCTTAGACTTTATAAAAAGTATAACACCATACAGGAAAACATGGTAATTACTTACGAATCCACATGATTTTCAAAGGAAAGGAGGATCGGAAAGGGCGATGTCTTAAATGCACATTCAGCAATAGCTTCTATTACTTCCTGAAGAATCAAAATACATACAGTTACAAATTTATGTCTCTAAAGAAACAGCGTTTTGGTCTTTGAAGACAGAAAAGACCCAGAGGTCTGAAATCATACCCAAAGTGCCTGAAATCAGACCTTCCGTTCTAAACATCCCAGAAAGCTCTGGATGTGCTTTTGCAGCAACCAAATTTTTCAACCTGAACTGTAATCAAATCTCCAAAATGTCTGATGAGCCTGAAGCACCGCATTTCTCAAGAAATGACTTATGTCTGCCTAAATCAATAGTTTAAATGTAAAACTTGGTCTCTGTGTGGAGTTGTTCCATGCCTGAAGTAATGACTTTCATAAACTATTTTCCATAATAATAAATGTTTTGTTTTGTCTGACAAATGCATATCTTCTAAACATCATCACCACAAGCACATATCCATAAAATCCTTAGTTACTCCGACTCACAAGTTTTAGTTCCCTCTTTTTTGATGAGAGAAACCCCTTTAAGGCAAAAGAAGGACACACACCCCCCACACCCCCCCACACCAAAAAACCCCATTACTCAGTTAAAACAGCTGGCTGAATAGTAATCATCAAACAGAGGGCACAGAAACTGAAACTTCTGTAGAAGTTTCCTTTCAGCTCTGGTGGAAAATGGCAACTGTAAATCTAGTAGAGGAATCATTTGATAACGCTAATTTTAGTGGGGCGCACAATACAGTAATGCACTCACTGTTACAAATTATTCAATGTTTCCCTGTTGGAACACAAAACTTTTTTCAAAAGAACTTATAAAACACTGAAGACTTTCTATATGCATTGCTGTCAAACTCTGGAGCCTGTTCCCTCCCAAATCATAAGGATGACTAAAACCAAAAAGATTTATCTATTTTAAACAAGCGCCCTCTGGGGATTCCTTTTGTTCATTTTCTGTACTTTTAAAGGCTCAATTGAGAAGCGTAACAGTAAGAAATCCACTCCCTAAAATGAAAGCTGAGCTTCTGGTACATTCTTCTGAAGTCGCGTTGCAGACTCCAGGACTGGAAGGAAAGCACAAGCCATCTCAAGACTTGCTGATACGAGCTAGCATACAAACAAAATTTACAGTCTTCATGTAAGTAGCAAAAAACACAGCTCACGCACAAATTGTTATAGTATCTCTTACAAGATGAGAAAGTAGCGCTCTCAGCACACACAGGTGGTGAATGACTATATTTAATAAACTTCAATCACCAAATATTTAAATGTTTCACATATCACTAACCATTCATGTGCTTCAACTAAGACTACTTCTAGCCTTTAAAGAAAGCAGAAAGGCAGAGCATTTATTGGGAGAATAGTAAATGGTGAAGAAAGCTGGGTGAAGGCAGGTAGGAAGCTGCAGTTTCACAGCAGCGGTTCTCCCATGGGGGAACGCACGACGGAGTGATTCCCCCTGCACACCTTCTGTCCAGCTCCAGTAAATCACTAAGTGCTGGTACCACCTTAACCCTGTTCAGAACCGGCGGGATTCTCAAAAGCATCTAAGGCAATTTGAAGAGGTACTGCCGAAAGCAGTCCTGAGGCCTTTCTTGCTCCTACACACTGCTCAAGCTGTGGAGTAAATCCATAAATTTATTTTCAACTGCCTTCTTAACTGCAAAAAGGGATGAAATCCAGCATGCATGGGGAAAATAACCTGAAAGAGTAAAATCAGGATTACACTCATGAAATCTGAGGATGAGAAGCTCAGGCATTGGTTCAGTGGAGAAACAGGTATGCTGGTGATTCAGTCTTGCACTGCATTCACATGTAAATGCAAATTCTCTATGGTCAGAGAGGAATGACACGGTAAGTTCCATACTTTATTCCAGCTGCAGAATGACTCACCTGAAACAGGTCTCCAAGGTATATATAAAGTACACACGCACAGATTCCTGGTTATGGCATGAAAAATATTGTTGGCTCCCTAAGATCTCACCCTGGCAGCAGCTCACAATCTGCAGCTGAGAGAAACCTTACTGATTTCTGTATGTCATGAAGCAAGGTAAAACCCAACCAAACAAAAAAACCCACAAAAACCCCAGCAATATGAGGATGGGGAGTATATATTGCTTCTGTCTCCACACTTCAGAAAGCCTATCCAAGGCAGTGAAAACTGACAGACTGAACAGAAGCACCGTGTGCCGTGGTCATGCCAAAAGCGTGAGCTGATAAATGATTCAGCATTCAAGACCCAGTGATCACTCGGAATTGATTCACACACTTCTGACACATTATTTCACTATCATTTTGCTCCTCCTCAGCCAAGCAGCACACTTTCAGTGTTGAAAAGAAACCAGCAGTCAATACATTTTTACATTTTTCTGTGTGGAGAAACAATATTTGCCCTGAAGAGTGACAGATGAAATATTCCTGAGTAGGTTTAAAATACCTTCCAATATCTCTCCTGCAAACACAATGCCTAGGGGTTGAACATCTAAATAACCAGGGATAATCCTCATTCCTGCTAATGATCCTTTTAAGAATCAGATTAACTTTGTTTTAAATTCCTGCTCATGACCAAAGGAGTTGAGAGCTATCTTCCTTAACGAAAGGACTTCCAGCAATCAAACTCTACGCATATAAACACAATTGGCTTCGTATAAACATAACTGGAAAGTTAATAACAAACATGCAAGAAGGTTGTGTTTTACATTTTCCTGTGCTTAACTCCATCAGTGGAGAGTTAGAGAAAACAAATTGAAAAAAAGAAAGGAGTGTTCTGGTGCGAGTGAAAGTTGGTGCTTTTTCTGTGTGGCAGTATTGTTTGCTTTAGAAGACAAAAAAAAAGCCCCAACAACTCATGCTTCAAGCGCGGGAGACATGCTTCCAAGCTGTAGCTAGCAGAGAAGCCACACCTAACACCTGTAACATAACCAAATCCAGTAATGAGTATTTTTCCACATCTTCTTGCACACAGGTAAATCTAGAAACATATTTCCATGGCAAGTTCGTGTCTCAGATGGACAAGAATTATTTCTTCACGCTTCAAAAATGGTATCCTGATGTATCATTATAAGCTGTGCTGACTACCAATCTTAATACTATAGGAAAACACCTCCATCCTGCTCCTCTAACACCCTGGATCAAAAACATCTTTAAGAATAACAAGAAGATAATAATTTAAGATTATTGCTAAGGGTATAGTATCTACCTTTTATCACAGAAAACGGAAATGGAAGATGAAATTCAGAAATACAGATGATATGTTTAGGGTTTGAATGGAACAAATATCCCATCACACTCTCTGAAGGTACTAATTTTTCTTTTTCACTCTCCAGTGCTTCAAATCTAATCCCAAGCATCAGGGATAAGGGTAACATTGCACACACCGTTACTCAGTTTTTAAATAGTTAATATAACGATGAGTGTCTGGTCCCTATGGATGGGACCTCTCCAACTGGGCATGAGTAGCCTGTTCTCTGCTCATAGGAATTTAAAGGCTTGCACATTGTAGACATTCCCACGATAGCTGCTGTTTCCTACCTCAGTTCAGCACTTTTGTCTCCCACTCCCACTTACCCGGCAGAGAAGAGAAAAAGAGTATATTGACACATTGCTTATTGCCGTTCAAATCCATACGGCCTTCAATCTCAGCTCTCCTCCCGGCCACGTGCTATGGAGCTGTAACACAAACCAGCCCTTCCTCCCCGTCCTCCTGGTTCCAGACCCATCCGCAGACCCATTTTACACTGTGTAAAACCGGTTGTGGTGGCAATACCTGGTCCTTCAGCCCTGGCTGTGGTCTGCCCTGTTTCTCCCCCTTCGTGAGATTTGCTGCAGGGACATCCACAGGAGTATGGACCTGGGCACTGAGCCCAGTCCCCAGATGGCACAGATTATTACACCACGTAATCCCTTCTCCTCTGACTGCCACGATCGCCAAGAACCTCTTCCTGTGCAAGGTCCAAATACTGCAACTCTTCTCTTCCAACGATGCTGCACGTGCTCCCAAATCTCCTCTTAAAACACCTTTTTGCCCTCACATTCCTCTTCCCTTCCACCTTTGCAGTAATATTCTCGCAATGTATTTGTGATGCATTTTACATGAAAGAAACCACCCCAGCTAAAGCCAACTACACCAGTGTGCTGTGTTGCTGTACCTTGAAGGATATTTCAGTTGTCATAGTGAATCCGTGTGTAATGACCGGCTCTTCTTCAGCTGTTCGTCCTTTCCAGCAGTCCAGCTCCACACAGCGGCAGCCTGACAAAAGCACTTGCCGATACATCTCCACCGATGAGTTACCGGCCAGCTGTCCAGCTGCGACAGCACAAGAACACGAAAAAAGGGAAGTCATTTTGGGCCTCGGGAATAAATACAAATAATCTAATAATAATTAGAGTTAACAGCATCTTTTACCCTCGGCTGAGAGGAATAACACTCAAAGGCATACAAAAAGCATAAGAACGTAATGGAAATAACTTAGGCAGAGTCAGTGTCATGGTTTGGATTCTGCCCTCAGTTAAGCTGCTGTGAGTGAGGAGAAATAGCCGAACTGAAGCCAAATTGAAAACTTCTGATAGACAGCATCGAATACATAAAACAAAACAAAACAAAATAAAATAAAATGGCTTAGTTCTAAAACACTTTGTTATCCTTTGACAAGCAATGTGAAATTCAGAGGCGACTCAGGACGGCAAGATCCCACTTTCTCATAACATGCAATGCAGTTTAATACAAGATAAAACAAACCTCCTGCACAGTCACTAATGGTACCATTACTAGGTCTCAAATCAATATTTAATACACTAATCACCGCACTGAGTTGGTCAGTTAAATTTCCTGATATGATACTGCATTATGTAGGGAGAAATTTAATTAAACTACCAGTTTCCAACAATGACATAATATAAATCTAAAAATAAACAAGGAAAACTCAGCTTTTCCCAAACTCAGGCAGTATTAAAAAAAAAAAAAAAAAACCCACAGGACCCCCCCCCAAAGAAACAAAGAAGTCCAGTTGTGTTCAGGGAATGATATCCAGCCAGGGTGTCTTCACCTGCTGCAACAGGTTTGATTCCAGTCACATGGATACAAATTTCTTGCAGCAGAAAGGTAAAGATAATGGAAGAATGGCTTAGTGCTTGTTTTAGATGTGAAGAAAATGGATGCAGTTTCCTGCTTTCTAGCAGGCTTCCTGGGAAGACCTTCCGGGATTTCTTGAAGGGAATTCACTTGCTTTTTAAGGAGGCAGTGAGTTCATTTACATTAAAGATTCTTCACTGATGGGGGTCATATAAGTACTTCATCCAGACTGGCATATAATATAATGCAGTTACTCTAATCATTTCATTGTCTCTGTGGTTCTGTGTTTAGGTTTTACGCTGGGAACTACACGTTTTGGTTTCCTTCACTACGCTGGGAACTACACGTTTTGGTTTCCTGCAGTAGATAGCATTGTCTGCTTTCTCTGTGTTTTTACCTTCCACTAAAAACTGTTACAGAAAACCCCTTCTATCTGAAAATTCCTGTTTACCGTTTGTGTCTGATACATGAGCTGGAGCAGTCATAAATACTGCACAAGGTATTAACATTACGCCTATTGAAATCCGTGAGATTTCTCAGCTCCTGCTGGAACCAATGGGAAATCTATGTTAATAACAGAAGAATTTGGCCAGTGCTGGAAGGTTCTGGAAAATCTAAATGGAGTCAGCAAAGTGACAATGTGTCTCTCTTATTTTTACTTAACTTTTTCCTGTGTTTCCCCTTTGATTATAGCAGGTTATCTTTACTCACACAAAAGCCTCTTTGGTGCAATCCCAATGTCTGGGGTAAGCAGTGGCTCTTTTTCCTTGCAGGATGCAAACAAGCACGAGCATGGGTCAGGGTACCCCAGCACACGTTTCTGTATACTCATCCCTAAGCATCTGCTTATGAAAACTTGTCTCTCATTATATGGACCCGCTGAACTCTGCTGCCTAAAAAAACTACATTCACTTAGAAAGCTGTTTTCCTGTTGTCTTTCTTTTCCCTCAAAGCATATTGAATATGGATTAACAAACTATTTTACGATTAACAAACTCTACTATACTTCCTGAGACAGCACTGGCCATTATTATTGCTGAGCATTTTGGACTACGAGATCCCTAACCTTCAAAAGTGTTTAAGTAAATCATGACATGCATCACTTGCCATATGACACTTCTCCACACTACCTTATTAATAAGCCTCAGACGTTTTGGAAGGACTCCTGCTAAGGATAAGAGGATATTCAACCTCCAAAACATTCAATCTTCAGAAAGGCTCCCAGAGTGCAAAATGATAGCAAACGTGTTAATAGTCTCAATAGCTTATTTTTCTGAAATATGGAATATTAGGAATGTTCCCTCAAATGTTTTTTGCATATATTTTATATAAACTTCTGTAGTGTGAGTCTGTGTTTGCATCTATTCCAAACTATCCCTTTAACAGATGCATTCTAAAATGTGCTAACACAGACACTAACGGGAAGACTTCCAGTATGATATTTTTAATATCCTGAGTACAGATCAATTTTTTAATACTGGAAATTGAAAGCATTATGTATTCCCTTCTAGAATACATAGAGCATCTACACTCATACCATAATATTTGTATCCCATCACCCTATATAGGATAAGGAGAAACAGATTTTGACAAACCCTTGCTTTTCTAAAACTATAATTGGCCAAATCATACCTGACAGGACACTAAGCAAAATGAGCCTGTGCTAATTGATATAAGCTGAGGATATGACCCACGTTTCCCCACACGGATCAGTTCCACGCTTCTGTAACTTTAAGCTGCTCATTTCTCAGCAAGTGCATCCTTGCTGGATTCATTCATCACTGTTTTTCCAAGTGCAAGTTATTTGCAATACATGGACTTAAAATTTGTTTATGATTTTATGACATGTATCCTCCTAAAACTGGGGGATATTTGGATCCAGGTATTTGGAGTCACCTGACTCTTCACTACTCTAGAAACAGAGGCTGCCTCTGCCCCCTCGCCCACCCATGGCGCCACCTTCTCCCGGCACGAAGAAGTGCCTGTACACTCCCTTTGCCACGCATAAACACGAGTTGCTAAACCTCCTCTCTTCAGGCAAGTCCTGGAAAAGCACTCAGTGCTCTGGATCATACGCTGTAGTTTGCAGCGTGCAAACTCAGACCCTCGTACTGCTGGGAGTCTGCCTCCTGACTCCAGCAGCAACAGAAGGTGCTGGCGGCTACGGTTTTTTTTAGACACAGGACGTTTATCTGAATTTATTTTCCTTCCGAGCTATTTTGCCATGCACAGGACAAGCTAATTAGACCCCACACTGTGACATACTCTGCTACTGCTTGTATGGAAGTCCAAATAAGGCTCTCGCCCTATGGCTGTTATTTTTAACACTATACATTGGACCAAAGCAGGACATGCGGTCAGGCTTGCTCCAGCCAGCAGCAGGAATACACTTGCTGTCAGTATTGATTCAGGCCCACCCAAGCAGAAGATGCAGCGCTTGCGTATGCCAGGAGGGCTGGGGCTGGCCAGCCTCTGAGTTTGCATGTCGGCTCAGCCGCTAGCAGTGCCCGGGCAGCTCCCACGCTGCAGCCAGGCTACGTGACGGACACTATGTCCGTCAGAGGAACCGGCACGGGGTGCATGGGGTAACCTAGCTGTGGGTTCTAGGGGTTCTAGCTGTGGGACCCATTTGAGAAAGACACACTGCATGGCCAGCTGAGTCTCTCCAGCTGCAGTGAGGGAGTGGAAGCCACTGGGACCTACTTACAGAGCCCTTCCCCTGCTGCTGGATCTCCGTATCTTTGTCTTACAGATTTCAGCTATTTGAAGATCTTCAAATGCTGCTATTGGAGTCAGAGAAGTTACCCAATCCTCAACACAGTTTTATCCTCCTTAAAGAGGGGGGGGTTAGAAAATAACATATCTCTTATTTCAACATACTTCAACTGGTTGGCCTAAAGAGGCAAATAAGGCACAGAGGATCTTGAAAACTCACTAAGCAGCAGCGAATGAAATATTACTTAAAGGAAATAAAATACTTTCATGATCTTGACTTTTCTTCTCCTTCTTGAGAATCCAGTATCTGACCAAACAATATTTTTTTTTAACTCTGTGTTCACCTCTGCTGCTACTGGAGGCAAGCTTCCTCTAGAAATTTTGGTGTCAGCTGCTGATCTCTATTAGAATAATTAATTTTGCCTTCAGGATACAATCAATACGATTTTTTCTTTCCCTTTTACAAGGTTTCCGCTCACTTTTGAAAGTAGAAACTCCCTCACTTATGGCTTCAGAAAGAGGGAACAGGCATGGGTGAAGAAGGTAAGGTGGGGGCAGGTACCCCTTAGGACAACAAAAAGATAAACTGACGTTTAATAGTGCTAGTAGGAACACTCAGCTGTCAAAGTTAGAGCAGTCACGTAAAACATGACAAAGCAGGAGACCCAAGGTATTTTTACTCAGAGTCTGCTTAATTGAGTAGTCGTCTTCTCACAAAAGCTGAACTGCCTCAGAGGAAGATGCAAGAGAGAGTCAGGCAGATGAGAATCACCACCTTATTGAAGCTATTTTTTATATATAGGATTTTTTTATACAGGGTATTTTTCATATATAGGATTTATTTTGAGAGCAGGGCACTGAACTGGTATCTCAGAAAGTTCCACCTAAGACCTTCCACACAGATCATCTTTCCACTTTGTGAAGCAACAACAGCTTTCCCTCCACCGATTTATTTTTTTTAATGGCTATGTCAATTCGACAATGTAACTGTGGAAGCTGCTTCCACAGTTGCACTGAATTGGCCTCGGGGAGCAGATAGGGGTCTGTAGCTTCCTTCCTGTGAGGTGAAGTCATCGTGTTCAAATTAACTTCATTTCTGAAAACTCAGCCCTTTTTCTCAGTGTTACACAAGCTTTTATGATATTCTGAAGGGGAATCATGAAAAATAACGACAGCTGGAAGGTAAAAATACCTCCAGAAACTGCTGATGAACGGAAGAGCTGCACAATAACCACTGCTCCTCCTTTTTACCCGTTAGCCCTCATGCTAAGATAAACCATGACCCCAGTGCCAGGAAGAACCTCATTTAACTGCCTTAGATTGCTGGATAGGATTAGCTGGGTCTGCCGGTGGGACAACAGCTACGGCTCCTCCTCAGCTCAGCTTCTCTCTGCTGCAAGAGCTCCCGGAGCTCTCTTACCCTCTAGTCCATCAGGAAGGACGTGGTGGGGCTGGAAGAGAGCAGAGCCTTGGGTCTTGCCAGCTGATCACCTGAGCTCAGCGCAGCTCGAGAGGCACGAAGCAGCCAGCCAAAAACTGCTCTTGGTGGTACGACAAACCCATGCTCAGAGCAGGCATTGCCCAGCTTTCCTTCCCTTCCATATGATGCTGTCATCTTGGAAACTGTGAAGATACTGTCTTGGAGGCTTTGAAGGTGAAGAAGGCTTCAAGGAAGTGTCGAATGCAGAAAATAAGCAGCAACAGTTAGGACTGAGGAATCGCTGAGAACAGAAAAGCTGAAGGACGGTAGAGGAGAGGCCACAGCAGGAATAAAGAAGAGGAGAACATGCCCTCATGAGATATTTTTCTAGAAACAACTGAAAGTACTGGACTGTGAGCAGGGAAGCAGGTGCTGAGGGTGAGTGGTATAGTCCCATGTTGGCTATATGCGCTAAACTGATAGCTCTGCAACCTTCTGCTGCTATTATTTTTCCTTTCAGCCAAAGACAAAACACTCATCAAAGGCTTGTGATTTTCAAATTTTGCATTTCACATATACAACAGCAAGTTGCATAGCCATCAAAGTGTGCAATGCTGATAATGATACGTAATCATTTGTCTTTGACTTTGGGTGCTGCTGAGAGAAATGCTGCAAAGTCACTCCCCACTGTGACAACAGCAGTAACCTGAGGTGAGACTAGTGAGAAACCAGAAAAAGGCAGGGTTGCACATTAAGGGTTCAAAGGAATAAATAAATAAATACGATACCAGTGAGAAAAAAGATGAGAGACAGTAAAAAGAAGTTTCCAAAAGATGACATTTCTTTAAGCTAGTGTAACTATAAATCACTTCTTTCTTCATGGATTTTTACCTTTGTTCTTAAAAATTACATTTCCCTAAGAAAAAGAAAACAGTAACACTTCTAAATAAATAATCAGGACTTGATGTACTGCCAAGGGTTTCTACTAAAGGCTAGGAAAATTATCAGGGTAATTAAAAATAAATTCAGAGTGTGCACATGTTTCTTTTTATGTTATAATGTTGTTTCTTTGCACATGCTTTTTCTGGGTTTAAAAAACTAACAAAGGGAGAGATAATTGGTAGGGCATTAAGCACAGTAATCATAAAGTCTTGCTAGACTGAACGGTTTTCTTATTGTCCTAATAATTATTACATGACTAGTTGCTATTTCACAGTTCCAGTGAGGGCAGTGGTGCTACCAAAGCTTCCCTTCCAAAGCCATGAGCACTTGAGCAGACTCTTTGAAATCTTCTTGGGAAAAAGAACAGTCTGCCACCATTAATTTTACAGGTTTCAGCTCAACTATGTCCTTGTTGGAAGAAAGCAAATGGCAATGTGATTGCTGTATCTGGTCTAGCCTCAAAGCAAAATCTAAAGCTGTCAGTTTTTGTAATACGCGGATAAAAATCACATCATTAATCCCATTGTCAGCCAGCTGCCACACACTTACTGAACATAATGAACCCACTAAAAGGGAAGGGCATGTGTTTTGTGCTTCTAAATGTGAAAATACACCCTTGGAAATGGGATTTGAAAGAAACTAAAACTTATTTTGCACTATCCCCCGAGTTAACTCTGATTTACTCCTCCCAATTTACTAAGCCAGGAATATTATGTTAAATTAAGACTGAGGATCATACTTCCAAATGTAGTTTCTGAAATTATTTAGAAATGCAGGCAAAGAAATCTATAGATGCAATCTGAGATGCAGACTTTGACATACAAGTCAAAGCGAATTTGGAAAGTTTCAAGGTAAACTTTCTTTCTCCTAAAATAATTAAGTATGTTAGGTCATTTGTTGTGCAGTTAAAAATTTAGAATGGGTTGGACTAATCATGCATTTCCATCCTTAATTCTTTGTTCTTTGGCTTCTGCGCTTCTAGACCTTTAGAACGTGACTCTGTCCTGATCAGCCCTGATAAAAATCTGTGGTATGGTACTGGCTATAAATTCATGCTGGTAGAGGGGAGAACAGTATTTTATCTCTTCAGACCAACTTTAAACTGCACCATCTGTCCTCCCTGTGGGCCTATGCTTCCCACATTTGTACAACAGCTTTACTGTGTTCTTCCAGAGAATCTGTATAAAGCTGCAGCATTTGGCTTAAGCGGGTCCTAATCCTCACTGGCAGAACAAAGTCCATACTGGAGGTAAGAGGCCTGCAAAATATCATAATTAAAAATTGCTTTTGCTTTGGACATGTCTGCGCTCTTCCAAAGAGCATAAATTTCTGCATATTGGAATCGTAACTTAAAAGCGGCCACACTGATTTTCATTTCTTTTAATTCAGAGGAACAAAATAGCTGTCAAGCCGAATGCTTATATGACAAGTTTTAGCACAAAACACATTTTACAGCCAAGATATAAACCTGTGAATAATGGTGTCTAATGGAAACAATGACAGTTCATTCACTTTATGAAAGCACTAGAAGGTGCTGTAGAAAGTGCTATAACAAACACAAAACAGATGAAAGTAACTACCACACGGTCTGTTGAAACTGGGCATCACCACCGCATGGTTTTGTTTATGTTTTGGCATACTGGCATTCTGAAGAACTTGGTCAGTCAAGGTAACTGTTAATAACATTGAAAGGCCTACATTATCCATAGGCCACTTTTTTAGCAAGCAATATAGCACTATTTTTTTTTTACATAATGCTAAGACATTATGTAAACATGACAAGACAAAGCAAACATCAAAACAAACAGAACACCCTGTGCACATCTGCTTCCCAAAAATGTTTGTTCTTACATAAACTAAACTAAAATTGTGAATTTACAATTATCTTCTCACAAGTTAACAGCATCTTAGACCAGAAAATGAGTGCCGAAAGCTGGGCTCCTAAACTGTCTTAGTTTTTTTTGGAATCTTAAAGCATTGTTAACTTTGCTGTGCAAACTATACAGTTCGGGACTCATTAACTATAATTCAAATTAACAGGAGCTTCTGCGTGCTCAGCCTTTCTAAAAACATGACAGCACCTAAAAATTTCAGCTCAGACATTAGATATAGTCAGAGACCAGATTTCCATTCCTTGCAGATATGAATGGACTGTCAGAAAGCTATGTGCCATGTTGGGACCTCTCTAATCTCTAAATCAAAGCAAATTTCATGGAGCTCAACAAAGTGTCAGATTTAACGTTTAGGGGCAAATTTATTAGCTACAGAGATGCTTCGCATACTTGTTTGGCTATCCTTGGTTGTCGTAAGTACATCGTTCCCCCTCCTCCCCAGACAAAGGACCTTAATCTGGAATCCTATCTAAGTGGAGGGAAACTTTCCAGGGACTTGACTGGGCTTCAGGCCAGACCTTATCTGAACAATGCAACTGCTGCTCACCTGTTAATAAAGGTATATGTGATGTATGTGTGTAGCAGCTAGAACAACAATCAAGTGCTACCCTTCCTTCCCTGAAGACTAAGCTCCATCATCATTTACTGCTGATGCTTTTACTATATTTTATGGTATCACTGCAAATATGCTATGAATTTTTGAAAGATAAGAAATTGGATCGCTCCAACACTGTACCTGTGAGGTAGGTGTTGTGTGAGGAATTGATGAAATAGTGTGATAGTGGTTGAGACATATCTTCATTTAAATCCAGTTTCTCAGGTGGAACAACGCCGTTTTCTTCTCCACTCAGATATCGCATAAATCCATCCACTGATATCTGTCCTGAGAGAAACACAGATCCAGGGAAAGCACCGGTTAATTTCAAGTACAGATTTTGCAACGTACAGATGTTATGTTCAATATACACTTACATAAAGGCGTGTGTGAAAGACCATATAATCATCAGACTGGCCTTCATCTAGTTATTCATATATTCTTTTGTTACTATTACCTCATTTTCAGCCATATAAGTTGCAGGTAATACACATCCCTTTACCTCTACCAAAGATAAATCATTTCATAATCAGCGTCTACAGATAATCAAGGGCACAAGGGAATCAGAATTACAGAGGGCTATAAGCACAGAGAAAATAAATCGAAGCCTATCAAGGAAGGGGATCTGGGGACAAAGGAAAGCATGCTTTCCAGAGAAAACCAAGAAACCAGCAAACAGAGCGCCACGCAAAGAAACAGGTAACTTTGACCTCTTTTGAATATGATTCAGTGTGTGTATATACGAATGCAACCAAACTGCAAAGCAAAGCAAACCAAACCAAACTAAATGAACCACCTTTCAAGCGGGAACTAAGCTTTGCTTTGCAATTCTTACATTTGTCTTCCAATTCATATCTCACTGGAGTGCCAGCATAAATGATCATTTCATATGCTGCTGGCAAATTAGAAAGCTGAGTCCTGTCCTCAGCTTAAACATCACCATTGATCTCAGTGGAGCTGTGCTTATTACGTCAGGACAAATTTCTCTGACAAGCCTTCTGCATAAAGCTGACTTTAGGGTTAGTGTCGATTGTGCATTTAGAGATATTGAAGATTAATGCTTAACCAAACGAATTTGAGACATTTTTCTTTGCCTGCTATTTTTGTTATTTTGTCTAGATTTCATCTGTAGATTTACTCAACCACTTAGCTTTAGTTAATTCAGTTACTGCCTATAGTAAAACAGATCTTCTGTATCTCTGAAGAACCTCGAAGCAGCTACGTGCCTGGTGACTCCCAACAATGAGAACTTCTTACCTCTTGTCCCCAACCCAAAATATTCTGCATGGTATCTCTGTTGAAAAAAACCCTTAGTCGACTGACAATGGCATTGAAAACTGGAAGACTTCAGCTCTACTCCTAACTCTGTTGCTCTCTCCTTTTAGGGTCGATCCCTTTTTATCCTAAACCATATAAACTTACTCATATTTTTCTAGTATATGAAAACGTAATGGGTAACCCTGCAGCATTTTTGTAAAGTTTGTAACCACACGATGCAAATACAGTAACTAAAGCATTTACTTAAAATCTGTGCTTGGACCCTGGGCTTTGGCTCTTGATCAGAGAGGGAAAAAACATAACGGTCTTAAGTTCAGATGCCTCATTTTCCTAACAACCCAAGACGGTGGCACTAAATGAACCTATTCATATGACAAGAAATGTAGTGACAATACAGAGCAATGCAATTATCATTCATTCTTATGACAACAATTGTAAGATGGTTGGAAGGAAAAACATCAAGTCCATCCACTATTTTAAGACTGTAATCTGAGTGCAATCTTGTCAGGCTCCACAGCTGCTTTGTTATAGGGTAATTAATCATCCACAGACAGAGGCCTATGTACTTTCCTTTTCACAAGAAAAAATGTAAGATAGAGAAAATTAGGAAAAAAAAAACCCCTGCTGAGGTTTTTCATGAAACTAAAGACTTATGAACATCCTATCTGCTGCGTGAATCTACCAGAGAGACATTATGAATGTAAAGAGTATCAGGCGCTATCATGGAGTTAGCTTGAGCTAAAATCCACTGAAGAGAAACACTCTGCACCAACTTCACTGTGATATAGATATGGTCTGTGGTGTACATTCACAACACACAAGCAATATCATACAGGAAAAAATGGGTAAGATCTGAATGGGATTGCCACACGGGCAACCAGCAAAGCCATGTCACGTTATAGTGATTTGCAACTTCTGATGCTTGAGATAGCTCATCCAGAGTCATCTTCAGTATCTCCATGTTGTTTTGAATGTTTGAATGCGCTCCTTTCAGCCAGACTAGGAAGTTTAAAGTTGCTTTGTCATTCCTGCTCCAGGCTAAAATGAAACATAGTAGTTTTCACACACCCAGTTCCTCAAAAAAACCCGTGGCATCATAATCACACCGTGTTCAGAAAGAAAGGCTTCCATTTTGTTACACAGATACTCAGGTCGATTCATGTAGACATAGTATTCAAGCATCTCAAAGCGATCTCTGTGTTTAATCCTCAGAGTATACCTGAAAAACAGGGTCCTTGCAGTCCTTGTTTTTCAGATGGAGACCTGAAGCTGAGGATAAATTAACTGACTGGACAATACCCCATGGAAAACCTGTGGGTTAACCTGGGAGTTGAACTGCACAATCTCTTGAAGCCTGTTTGGGCGCCTTACTCACTTGAACACCTTTGGGATGAAAGGAAGCAAGGCTCAGGCCTCCATTTCCTCCCTTCTCTCTATTTTATGGTTCATCCTGCTGCTTTGCTTCCTTCCACACTGAAGTAAGACAAGGTCTGCAGAGTGGTCCTTCTGTGTGTTGCCGCTGGCATTAACATAAATCACAGCAAGTATTATTCATACGTATAATTACATAGTTTCTGAGTTACACAGTTATCTGAGCTTATGGCTGTAGAATGTTATTTTCCCCATCATAATTAAGCAGTCAGCATTTCAGAAAGTGAAGCAATTTGCAAGTTCAATTACAGCCGATATTGCACCAGTGAGAGTTTGACTGTGGAACGGAGATGGCAGATGTCAAAGGGACTTTGTATCCTGAATATTAAAGAGTAGATTGTTTGTGATTAACGTCAATGATATGCTGAGGCCAACTGCAGTGAGGATGATCCTCGGTGGACAGTCATCCAAAATGAAATGGCCTCAATTTATTGGTAAGATTTGTTCTCTGTTTTCTTAAGCATATTACAAATTTACTGCAGACATTGCCAAGAAAAAATAATTTGTGATCGGTTCTTTCCATTACAGCTGTCACCTTTTATCTTCAGATATGTATTAGGAAGATTTAATGATTTGATTAGATATAAAAAGTTAGAGGGGAAAAAAACCACAGCAGGCAAAAACACAGGGACAAGACAGATTCACTTTTTTTTTCTTTTTTTTTTGCTCGCACATAATTGTCTTAAAATCATCTGAACCCTAGGTCTTTGATGAAACTTCCAAAATAACCGGTGTGCTTTATATACTTAAAATTGTGGAGTTAACTGGCTTGTCTTTTTCACTCACCGTTGCCGTGTTAAATTTGATGTCACTTATTAGAACAGGGGCAGACCCAAAGCTCACTAGTGTTTGTTGAAATGCTACCATCAACTTCAATAACATTTGGGTCAAGACCTTACTAAATAATCTTAAGTGCAATGCAAAGAAAGACGAGACTCCAGACGACTCTTTTAGCTATGCTGGCAAAGGCCTATCGAGAAGGGCAAACACAGACGTAACCGTAACAGAAGGTATGACAACAGCTGCAGTACTCAGTGAAGATGCTTTCCCTCCGTGGGGTTTGGAGTTTACCAGCACAAGAAATTTATTTTTTTTCCTCTCAAGTATCTCTTCTCTAATTTATCTGATTAATTAGAATTTCTCAGTAGTGCTCAGGTCACTCAGTAGTGCTTTATTAAAACACTTAAACAGCACAAACATAAAAATGCCTCCTTTTTCCTGCGGTGTCTGGCCTATTTACATGTCCAACACTTAACGCCTTCCCACAGTGCCACTGGAACGCCTTCTCCTATACAGGGCAACGCCTGCCCCGGGCCTGCAGCTCCTCCTCTTCCTCCTCTCCCCTCGGGGCTCGCAGGGCTGCTCCTCATGCTTTCCCCCCCTCACTCCTCACCACCGGCAGCATTTCGCCCTTTCTTAAACCCGCTTCTTCCGAGGTGCCGCCAGCGTGGCCGAGGGGCCAGGCTGCGCCCTGTGGTGGGGCTGTTGGAGCTGGCCAGAACCGGCTGGAACCGGTGCAGGGCAGCCCCGGCCTCTCCTCACAGAAGCCCCGCCGCCAGCGCCTGGGCGCTGACAGCCAATTCGACACGAAAGCGAAAATTAAGGATATTCTAATCAACTGTTCCGTTTTCAACTTAATGCAAATCCACTCCTGCTCACAGGACGAGTGCTGTCTCAGCGCAACTTGCCAAGAAGCGACCGCATAATGTGCCACAGCTGGATGACTCGCAAAGTTTGTCAAAACCACCCAGCTCCTACACAGAACGGAAGATGCTCAGATGTTGTTTTTGATGATTAACACGGGTATTTTTTTCTTCTCTGGACTCACTAGGCTGAAGAAATTTGTGATGAATGTCAGCTGTGGGATATTTGATTGTCAAAGCACACATAAGTGACTGGCTAAAGTTTTGTGCAAGCCAAATAAGTAACAGATCAATTTTCATGTTTTTATTGTGCAATGGAACAGGTCTGTAAAATAAAAGAGCAAGTATTGAGGAGAAATATGAAAGCATCTAATGTATTCTTAATCACAGACATTCCCAATACCTCAAAATTATAAATCTGTAGCTGAACACTTGTCTATAAATTATATACAATATAAACTTTTATGTGATTCTAAAAACATATCTGAATTAAAAACTTACAAGAGCTAGAGGCATTGGAAAAGTCTGGAAATGCCTTTACACGCCCCTCTCCATATTTATACATCTACATACCTTCCAAAATATGTTCTCCAAACAGGAAGGAAGCTTCTAAAAGTAAAGGGACCTTGACTCCTCCACGTCTTTTGAACATTCTACCCCTTACCTTCTAGGTGTGAAATGCACGGCAAAGCACCCTCGCAGTCAGGACTGCCCGCTTGCCCACACAAATTGTTATTCACACTATGAAGTTCCCATGCCATCGTTTCACAAGACAAATCTAGTCCAAACTCAGACAGACCTACTCGAATCAGGTTCTGGCTTTATCCCTGCGCTACTTTTCTGCACTGTGGATTTAAGCTCTGCTTGCACTATAGGTGCATGTGCGGCATGCCCGCAAATACCCTTCTCCCCTTCACTTTTAATTTGGAAGCTGAA